TTTTTTCTTTATTCGAAAATTCGATCTATTTAATATATAAAGAAAGAAATATATAAATATAAATATTAATATATATAGAAATCAAAAGAAATTTTTTCAAATATCATAGAATATATATATTCGAGAGAATGATCCGTAAGTCGAATTAAAATATGAAAAATTTAGAGTTATTCTTTTGCAAATAAGTGAATTATACTAATAAAATAGAAATATATAGAATATGAAATTATATTTCCGAATATCTTTTCAAGCCAATTCTGTATCAATACTACTATTCATAATGTATTATATAAATATTATGGAGAAACGCTCTTCGCCTGTTCTATTGGCTAAGTGGCGAAGATAATCTTTCATTTTTTTCGTCTACTAGAGTGATAATCCCAATTAGGAATCAAAATATATAAATGAAAAGTATCCTTCTTGCTTATTGATATTTATATTTGTAGAAATAATCACACCCGTTATTTCGGGAACGAAATATTTTCCAGCTAGCTTGGTGGTAAGGATTCTGAGTCTGGCGCGCCTCTCAAGGCAATTCCTGTTCTATCTGCAGTATACTAATGCTCTAATGCTGTTTGTCGCCTTGCGCCGCTCGGATGGAGTGCTATGTCTTCACTGTCACCACCTGGGGACGAAGTGGCAAGGACGCAGTGCAGGACGGCCACACAGCAGTCCACGAAAGCGCCAGACCCGTCAAACGCCAGACTGACTTTCATCTGATGCCAGTCGCCATACCTTCAAGTACCGCTTGTTTTCAATTCACCGTTGGACTGCTTGTGATGGGTGCCTGATCGGAGCCAGGTCATTGCCATTGTTCAGCAAATATGGCTTGAGCCTCCGTAGCACCATGTTGTGAAGCATCTTCCTGACCTGCTCCTCTGCAGAAGACCCTACTAAGCTGCAGGCGGTGCCACCCAAGTGTCCGAGTCCGGCTGGAGGAAAATGATGTGAGACCTGAAGCTCAGAGGAGGTGCCGTACACAGGATTCCTTTTACATCGATTCTGAGAAACGAGATCCTCAAATGGGGACTATCCTTCAGAACCTCGGCATCTTCGAAAGCAGAAAACCTGTCACAACGCCAATCGCTTACCAACACGACCAAGACTCTGATTATGATGCTGCTGCCTCTCAACAAGGAACTGTAGTGGCATACTGCGATTACCGTGTTGCAGCGTGGCTGCATGTCCGAACTCTAAGGCACTTTGCAACAGTGCATTCATGCAGTGGGCTCACGTTACACCTCTTCCCGAACGCGTTTGTCACTCGCTACAGCATGACCTTCCAACTTGCGTTACACCAGGTGGGGTGCGTGTGAAGCTTCGCCTGTTGGCCGCAGCTGAATCCAAACCTCCGGCTCTGTGCCCTTACGTTCTGTGCAGACGGACTAAGGACACCCCGCTGTCGCAGAAATAAGCCTTCGAGTCGCAAATTGCATAAACATTGCTCGGGCGCTGCACCGACTCTTCTGGCGCTGGGTGTGGTCAGACCGGGGCTCCGACTGTCGGGCACCTCTGCAGATCTACAATCCGATCCAAAATCATGCAAGCTGCATGTTGTGCTCGAGGCGCTGGCCTCTTCCACCATCTGGCCTCTGGTTTCTGCTGTGCTTTGTAAAAGGAGCATTGCATGACAAAGGTGCTTTCTTCGCATAGCATTTGTGTTAACCCTCAGCAGCACAACTAGTCTGTTGCAATAGCGGAGGAAGACTCACGAAATTGAGGCTCAGGTCGGCACCTTAATTTCAAATCAGGTCGGGTCGTTAATTCCACTATTTTCGGGTGACCTCGGGTGACCTCGCGATAAATTGGCCAGATAAAGAGCTTAAGTGCTGGTTCCACATGTGAAAAGCACATCCCCGTCCTGCTGTAAAGACTACGGGGTCACGAGGCTAGGTGCCAGACGATTCCAAGGACTCTTTCTGCACATGGACCCGATGCGGAAGCGCCTGATGGGCTGTCTTCACACATGCAAGCAGGATTCGTACCGAGCTGCTCGTTTCCGTGTATGTGCGAAGGGGAGTGTATGCAACCGCCTGTGCATTCGTGTCAAACCATGTCAAGCCAAAGCTGCTTAGAAAGGGTACTGTAGCTAGGTGTTCCTTCAGTACTCCAAAATGTGTGGCGTGTCTGTGTGTAACAGGCTGTACGCATAACAACAGTCATAGCACTCGGACGCGCAGAAAGAGTACTAATTAATTTCGGGCTACCGGCTACCGGCGAGGAGCCTTGATCTGTCCGTTTGTCAGCCGCTCCAACATGTCTCCGGCCTTCGGCACAGGTGCTTACTACTGCAGGTCCATCATGCGAGAAGCCGCACTGGCGCATGCCGCACATGCTGCGCATGCTGAATGGGAAAATTGTGTGAAACTCCGTGACAGAACCGCTGGGCAGCTGGCGAAAAGCAGAGCTCCTCCTTCTGGAGGCTCCTCTAGCCTGACCCAGCAGCAGGGGTGCTTGCTGATCGGGGCAGTTATCTACCGGCTCAAAGGGCTCTTTGTGCTCTGTGAAGGAAGCTTGGCTGAGTTCTTCGCACTTGCCAGGAACCGTGGGCAAACACCTCTCGTGTCGTGTCTTGGCATGTTTAGGTGGAATGCAAGAACCGGCAGCTCACCCAAACGCTCATAGAAGAAACTACGGTTGCCTCCAAGCCGGGTCCATTGGACAACTGCAGGGTCACCACCCCATAGTCCTTGCAAGGCTGGTGCATGGCTTCAGGCTCCATTTTGGTCCATTGCTGCGGGGTGCTGTGTGTGAGGAGCAGGTGCCCTCAGCAGGATACACCTGAGGATCGCAGGCCACCATACAGGAAAGACGCGTCAGTGTCGTGTTGACTAAGCTGGCCACACAGTGTCTGAGGCCACTGCGGCCTGAAAGGTATGAGATGCAAAACTGCTAGGCTTGGAATTCAAGACATCCTATGTCGCGCGCCCCATTTCTCCCATCCAAGTCGAAGCTTCACACCTCGCAGTTCGGGGACACACTTGCCTTCGCACTTGCGTTACGTCTCGCCAAGAAGGTTGTTTAATGCATCAGCAAATCTTTAGCATGTACTTGGCACCTGGTGTCCCACCGGCAGCACATGCCTGTGATGCTGAGTGACTGAAGACCACGCCTAGCAAGTCCCGGCTCCCATTCTCTGTGCTGCCTCAGTGCCAGCGCCAGGTAGATTTGCAAGTCTTCAGAAATAAAGGAGGTGAGAACTCTTTCCGGAGAGTAGGCGGCAGAGCAAAGACTTGCAACTTCGGACTCGAACAGCTTGGCCACAGCCGCCTTGATCAGACCGACTCATCAGAACCGCCGTTCTATGCCACACGTAAAACAGAACACTCTGGTGCCTTCAGCGCCATGTAGCCTTCCGGGGCCCACTTTAGGTCTCCCCAGTCAACGAACTGTGACTTGGCCTGTCGAAATACTTCAAGCAGTACAAGACGAGGACTGGCCGCCAAAACATATCTGAGCTCCGTGCGCTGGACTCCGACAGCCCAAAGGCAACACGATTGTCCGGCTCATGGTACTTGGCCTGCTCAGCAAAACATCAAAGCGCGAGCAACTGCTGTGAGCCACGGCTGCGTGTATGCATGTCTGTATGGATAAATGGATGTACCTATTATGTATGTATGTACGCATGTTCTGATGTACCTGTATGCCTCTGTGCATCCATGCATGTATATGTACTTGGGTCTGTACGGCTATATGTGTATGTGTATGTTGCCTGCATGTACGTGAGATGACAACAATGATGACGATGCTGACGATGATGTTGATGGTGATGTCTACATATGTACACATAACTTAACTCCGACAGTACGTTCGTGCACATCGTGATCTCTATCTCTCTCTCTCTCTCTGTCTCTCTCTCTCTCTCTCTCTCTCGTACTATGTACAATGTACGTATATACAACTATATGCACATAGTGAACAATCTCAGGGCCGAGAAGCCTCTCCAAGCAAGGTTCGGCTCAGATCTTCGCAGGACGAGAATCGCAAGTGGCGATCTGCAGCATTGGTTCAGAGTCACAAGGTTAACGATCACTGCAAAAGACAATGAGGCAACTGCCGTGAACGCAAGGACGTGATTTCCACTTCTTCTTCTGAGAAGTAGCCTGGACAGGAAGACTTCTCCATCGAATCCGTATGCCTTTAGTCCCAGTTCTGAATAGTTCTGAAACAATTGGGATTGCCAACTCGATGCCATGGAAATAAGGCCGAACTTTCAGAACGAGAGGTGCAAGCACTGCGGAGCATGGACTCCAATCGACCACCCATCTGACGTTTCAAGAGAAATACGGCATCGTGCGGTGCCTCGAACATCAAGGCGTGCCATTTGTCGTACTCAGGCCTAGCCACCGACGGTACGTATGTTTCGTCCAACAATGACGAGCACAAGAGCGGCGTTGGCACTTCTGCAGTGCATGAGAGAACTGCCTCACTGGCGATTCCCCTGTATCGGTTGACCCGACCTCGGCTCCGTGACAGCCTGCGACCTGGACAAAAAGCCAAGACATGACAAGAAGCTTCCAGCGCAGCAAAGGCTGGCGCATGCTCCCAGCCAGGGGACAAGTGCACGGCGCCAGCCAAGGCCAAGACCTCTCTGTCAGCATCCTAAACCCTAAACCCCTTGCACACCGCATGGAGTGGCTCGCCTCGAGGAGGTGGCCACGGTCCTGGCCGCAGAGGTCCAGCTCGGGGACTTGCAGCCTCTGCCTTCCAAGAGGGGACACAAGTGCCAAAGAAGGGCCCATAAGGCCTGAGGGAGAGTCATGTTCGCATTTTGGGAGGGTGGTCCTCGGTCTCGGCGGCGGGGGGACTGCTCGACTACGAAGCTCCTATCAGGTCAAGTTCGATCCATTTCAGCTTGCCTTGACTTGTGCGCTCTGCGGCTGCGGTGCCTCCCAGCCATACTGTCCGGAGCTCGACGATTCCCGCCAGCCCCTTTGCGAAAAGGCATGGTCAGAGAGGACAATTCACATAGCGCTCGTAGGGACCCGAGCCGCTGAAGATTCCATGCTTCTCGCTTGTCCTCCAGCTACACTGTTCGAACTTGTCCGCCTGCGTTCCTGCTGAAAGCTCTGTATCCTCGTATCCGCCGTAGCCCCAAGACTTTTGGGGGTAACCTTTGCGAATCGGCTGATTGGAGAGCCCCTGAAGAAAGCAGCATGAGGCGGAAGCGTGGCTTCTGCCAGCCAGCTGTCCAAGGCCGACCCCAGTAGTCCATCAGGAATCATGGCAGGATCGCCAAGTCACACCTACTGAAACCGAATTAAATCAAATCTGGGGTCATGCGTTTTGTTCTTCGGGGTGTGTGTGTGTGTGTGTGTGTGTGTTGTACTGCCTGCGAGTTTCGTAAAGCCCGGAGCGGCCATAAAGCTGTTCGTCAGCAAGACGACAACCGCTTGGCGCGAAGGCAGCATGCTGCAACAACATATAGGCACAGTCTCATTCTCGGGGAGGAGAGCTTGCTGCTTCGTTCCGGGGAAGAACCGTATCGTGACTGAGAAACCGGTCCTTGCATGGATTTTGCCCTTCAGGCGATATCAGCGAAAAGATGTGGCATTCGTTGCCGCCGAGGCATGCATCAGAACTGGTCGCTGTACAGACTAGCACTGCCTGCAGCATCCACAGGTATCTGATCCTGACCTGGGAGGAATGTGCCAGGGCACCACGAACACGGCCTCAAGACACGGGCTCTGTTCTCGCCGGGTCTTTCAGCCTCCGTCTCAGACGCAGCCGTTGCTCAGCACGTACAGAAACTGCCAGCTATGGGCCTAATCTGGGTGGACATCAGAGACACGTTAGGACAAATGTATGCATGCGTGATCGGGCCGAGAAGGCCGCCGGCGCCACGGGTTTTGGCGTCTCAGCCGAGTGCCATGGCCTTCCCACATGCCAACAGGTGATGAGATGATGACATGATGTCAGGTGGCGGGGGGGGCTTCTTCCGCACCTCGAACTTCTCCTCGAGCTGCTTCAAGCCATCCATCACGTTCGAGATGGTCTCCCCCTAGACATGGGGCAAGACACCGTTACGAATGGGAACCCTGCATGGAGAAGCGGCCTTTGTGTCGTAGGCAATATCCCCACTCTGGAACCTTTTTTCGGCAGCACATATCTCTTGCTTTCGCGCGCTCATCGCATTGTTGTCGAGCCGGATTATGCCGGACTTTCAAAGCTCCCCACTTCATGGTCTTTTTGCCACTGTCGGCGAGCCTGTTTACCATCTCCACCTCAAGGATCAGCTTTGCGCCGTCAAGTTCGCAGCTCAAGGCCAGCTGAAGCCCGCACTACCGGCACACCCATCTCTTCAGACGGCTTGAGCACCTTGAAACAGGCTCTCGCATCTGCCCACATGAACCCAAAGCCAAAGCCTTCGACCCTGGCTTCTCATTGCATGCGTGGTACGTTATCCGCCAAGACCCTGAGCACTGCCGTGGAATTCTTGATGAAGTCGGTCTGAGTTGAGGCTTCGCAACAAACCCCCACAGTTTTGTGGACTCGCCCAGAATCTGACCTCCGACTCACCGGAATGCACGAAGAGCCCCGGAAGCTCCTGCAGCCCATGGCACTGAGATGCGGGACAACGATCACAACTTCAAGCTTCGGCCCGGGATGGTCCGTAGCGCTGCCAAAGAGGCGACGGTTACAAGACTCCAAGATGTCCATGCACACCTGCGGGGGCAACTTCTGGCTCTCACCATTGCTCACTGTGAACTGAAGATGCACCTTGGTGGGTGTGAAAGGCAGCATCATCCCGTGATATTCTACTGGGTCGTCCTCACGCAGCACTTCGAGAGATTGCAAACTTCACCGTTACCGACTTTGGGACGAGAAATAGCAAATTTCCCGGCTGCGATGCATGCAGCGACAGGTTCCCACGTATGCGTGATGTTGATTGCATCTTGGTCTTGAGCCTGTCCTTCAGGACCTTGACAAAGTTCCACACTATGAACAGAACCTGGCAAGCCAGTAGCGAGTGAGTTTGATTGCAGATCTGCTTGGATCTCTTTCTCTTTGAAACATCGACTCCGCCGAGTCTGCTAACTAGTATACAGGTGTACTACAGTACAACCGTACTCATGGTACAAGCACAGATGGCTGCCAGTTTCGTGCCTGTGTTCTGATTTCCCCTCGCTGTCTCAGCTCGTGCATGACCTGCGTCAGAAAGCCGTCAACATGGAAGCAACTGTATAGCCTCAAGAGGACCAGGTAGGATTTGCAAGAACTGAGTCTGCGACTCCCAACATGGTTTCTGTCCTGTCCTTAGAGCACTCATAGCATGAAGCCCATTGCCATTGGCTTTACGGATGTGGAATCCAAGGCAAAAGCGAGATCTCCTTTGTTCAGGTGGAGTGGCACGATGGCCTAGCAATTCTAGAGCAGCGAAGCAAGTTTGATGATGCAGGTTGCTGGAACGAATGCTTGAGTTCGGAAGCGAATACACGCATTTTGCCACTCCCCATGTGATCCGGAAAAAGCAGTGACGTGTCAGCAGTCCTCGTCGCACAAGCCGTAAGCTAACATCGTGTACGGCCTGAACCGGCGATGATGCATCGCGTAAACTGACTCAGCAGTTTTTGCTGTAAGTGTAGCTGCTGCGATGCTGCTGTCTCCTGCTGTTGTTCTGATGCCACTGCAGTCGGCATTTACCGCACCACCATCGCAAAGCTCTTTCTGACAGCATCCTGAATGCAAACTCTGTCGCGCCCCAGCACTACTGGTTGCAACAGGCCACTGCCTAATACAGCTGTCGCTACATGGATGCTGGCATGAAGAAAGTGCCTGTGGCTCGGATTCTCCGAGCGGAAATGGTGGTCAAGCCACAACGGTGTCCTGAGCCGCTGGCGAAGGCCGCCGGTCCCCGTCTGTGTCACAAAACCTCAGCACACGTCGGAGTCGGAGCTTCCGGCCCGCACATCGCCTTGACTAGCACTTGTCAAGTTAAGCCATGCGAGAACACATCGAAATCCGTCGTGAAGACTTGAGCGAGGAGCAGCTTCCAGGTTTCTGTAGACCTGGCCCAGCGTCCACACGCGTTGAGCACCACGGCATGCTGCACCGAAGCACATCGGCGCACTTCTCGAGGGAGTCTCGTATTCTTTCGCAAACCTGCTTCCTGACCTTGATGAGCGCAGCCCCTGTTCGCATGTGCGGAAATTGGTGGAGCTCAGGTGCCAGCATCGTCGCTCATGGGGGCCTCTGATCTTGGCCTCAGACTGGAGACAGCACACTCAAGCACGAAGGCTTTCTGCTGGGGTGCGGACCATGCTCCACTGGAAATCAGGAAGATGTTGTCAGGGAGCTGCCGGCACAGCGCCAAGTGCAAATGACAGTAGTTCACTTATCGAGCACAGAGCGCCGCGCCGCAGGATTGTGATCCTTGAGTCGTACCGCATGCTCCATGACCTCGCAGAACTGTTGAGCTTGGCGGAGCAGGGTCCCTCGTCTTGCAACTTCGGGCAAGCAGTTCAGTCGGCATATGTCCAGACTGTGAAGCTCGTCTTGCAGACTTTTTCTGTTGAGCGAGTTCCCTGTGTGGGTTTTCGTTTTCCCATCCAGCATCCAACAATGGCAGCCAGGTTGCATCGAAGGTCGAGGACCAGAGCCAGCTGGTCAGCCCCGAAGGCCGCTTCTCCTGAGCGGCTCAGCTTCACGGCTTCGCGCGGCTTAAAGGCTTAAAATCTTCAAAACACTGCGGGTTTTGGCTCAGAAACTAAACCGAGAGCGCTGCAGCGGCCTGGAGCAGTCGAAAGACTCCGCCGAACCTTTGCTCCAAGACTACTGATCATGCCCTCTCTGCATCACCTCCGGTGCAGCATCACCATCACCTTCAGATCGTCACCACGACCATCGTCATGGTCACACTCGGAGCAACAGCGTAAGTTTAGGATGACAGGCGGGGCGTGGTGCCAATAACACTAGTGAGAAACCTTGGCGCCGCACAGCGACTCGACCTCCCGTCAACGCAACTCTGAAGCCGCGAGTGGAATCCACATACTCGCCTTGCGCCCTGCAGCATCCACACCACCAAGCAATCGCTTTGTGAGGTCCTCACAAGACACAGGCAGATGGTCACTGAATCAGAAAGCAGAAAGGGGTATCTCGTGTTGTTCTTTCGCAGCTTAGTGGCGCCCTCTTCTGCGAGGTCCATAATGAGAACCTGAGCAATATGAGGCTGGAGCAGCTATCATGCAAAACCTTATCTGACGATGGTAAGATCATGGCGCGGGCTTCTGGATGCTTGCTGGCATAGAACGTCGACCTGTAACCAATCAGCAACGCATGCATGGGCACGGCCTCCTCAGCAGAAGCAGAGCCACGAACATCTGAAATGCCAGCGTCGTTTTGCCGGTATGGCCAATGTGACCTCAAGCATGAGACTTGGTCAAAAAAGCTGATATCTGACCTCTCATTGCAGCGGTGGGGCTTGCAAAGACATGGGTGCTGTGAAGCGGCATGGCACCTTCAGGGCGGTGTCGGCCCAGAACATCGATGGGTGCAAGATATCATAAGGCTCAGCAGCACAGCAGCACCTTCCTCCAAGAGGTTTGGCTCGATGCCAGGGGCGGACGGCGAAAAGTCCGTGAACGGCTATGGCCGGCGAGCATGTGAGCAAGTGCGGCTAGAGGCCACGAGGAGCAGAAGCCCAAGAACAAACAGGGCTTTTCCAAGCTGCGCAGCTTCCTCGCTCTCAAGTTTCGGCCTTGCTCCAAGCTCGTGAACCTGGGATGAGGGGTGGTGTTACACAAGGTAGTAGCTAAGCCTTGAACTCCTTTGCCTGACGAGCGGCTCAGGCCCAGCGGCAAAAGCTTCCTGCGGAAAGCGGGGCTATTGAGACCTCTCATCGTGACGCGGTTTTGCAGCCACATCCTGAGCCACCGAGGCTGCTCGCCTCGCCCACTTCGTATTGCCTGCCACCACGGCTCGGCACCACCACATTGGCAGCCGATGTCAGCAGAGGAAGACGCACGACAGCCAGAGTGCATGCACAAGCAGAACCACAGAACCAGGACGGACCTGACTGGCTTGAATTTCGCAGCCATTCATACAGATGTGGCCTTCACTGTTTCTGACGGAAGGTGAGCTTGAAGGACAGGTGGCATGTAGTAGGGGCGCGAGGAAGGAGGGGTGCACATCTAGTCTCTCCTAGAGCTGCAACGAAACTTGAAGACGTGGAATCCAGACACGAAAACTGCATCGACCTCATCTGAGGTTATTGTCCAGCGAGGCCGCGATCCAATCATGGGGTGGCATCCAAGATGTCCTCCGTGAAACTCGAAACGAGATGCGTGTTGTTTTCTGGATTTCTGGCTCTGAATTCGGAGAGCTGCCTTGAATGTACGCAACTGCAGCGCGCACTGATCAACAAAGAACGGAACGGCTCCTGCATGGAGGGACCTTCGTTGACCAGCTCTGGATCGATCTCCTCCTGTTTGGCAGCCTGTGCCGATGCAATTATGTCATGTCGTTTACGCACAGCTAGATGACGCTGTGCTTGGGCGTGCCTCGGCCTCTGCTGTATACTTCATCAGCGTCAACTGCTTGGCCATCTTGGCTTTGAACTGCCCGAATTCCGGCACTCATGTCTGTTCGTGAGATGCTTGGTCATGAAACTACCTGTGGAACCCGGCGAGGTCGGCCCTCATCATTACGGAGACACCAGCACGTACAGTATACGTACAGTATGTCGCTCACTCACACCCCGTCCCAACGGGTTTTCGGCGTCCACAGGCAGCTGCGCAGTGCGCGGTGGTTTCAGAACTGAGGTTGAGGTCGCGGATATGGTCGGCTCTCGCAGGTTTTGGAACATACACGTCCGGCCATGGACTTGCAATATTGCCTGCAGGAACAGCTTCCATTTCGTCCTTTCGCGGAGCTTCCATGCGGTTCCCCACGGCAAAAACAGGTCTTACCACCGGAGTCCCGCCTTGTGTCCGCAAGACACACACACGCACATCGAGCAGTGAATGCACTCCGCGCCTGCTTTTTCACTCTGCTGTTCTGCGGCAACCTGACCTTGGAGATGAGCTGCTTCATGTCCTGGCCATCGTCTGGTGTTCGGGGTCCACGGGAGTCCTGTGTTGAGGATCTTTCGATACAGACAAGAGAGTGAATCAGATTTCCAGTTCAAGGATTCCGATGCACTATTGAGCATGGAAAACGACACAAGCAGAGTCAGTGGGATAGTTTTTCCTTCTTCCTGTTTCAGCTGATGATGATGATGATGATGAGGGTACAATCAAAATAGCATTTACGACAGCTGATACGATCACTACTACTGCTGCCCAGCTTCTCCGATTCCTACTACAGTTTCCTGTCTGTGCGGTCGAACCTGCCTCCGTCGGCGTGGGATAGGTGGCTTCGGCACGAAGCCTTTCCCTGCACAACGCTTGTGCGAAACTTTGCAACTCTGCCACAGGGTACCCTAATCGGAAGAACAAGTTGCCGTGCAGGCTCTCATCTCGCTGTTTTCGTCGCCAGAAATGTCCCACGGCACTCTGTACAGGGTGATCAGCATTGCGCAGACTTCTGCATCTCCCGGGCAGGAGGGTCCTCACGGACTAATCGACGATCTCGAAGTGCACCTGCGACATGCGCTTGCGACGACTTTGCAGTGTGCTGCAGAAACGTGACTCGGCTGTTATAAGTCCATCCTTGGCGTGTCGAGCTTGTTGCAAGACAAGAACGAACGGCGCCTGCCAATTTCACAGATGATCCCGACAGCAAAGCGTGTTCAACCACATCAGGCCTGGCAGAAGAGGGAGGAAGCGGTTCGAACCTCACCAGCATGACAGGAGGATGCAGCTGACATTTGGAGATCATCTCTGGCATATGCAGCACCTCCGCAGACACCCAAGTCCACACCTCACCGAGTGCTACAGACGCACATCCCAAGCGATCCCAAGAGATCAAATCTTCACTGCACCGAGGCGAAGTGCGTGCTCGGGAAACTCCGTCGGCTCCGGCTGAATCTTTGGCAGGGGCCGGCTTCCCTCAGGAAAGCATCAGATTTTCAGAATCGGACCTCTTTGAGTCCGTCTTGGACAGTTGGCATTCTTGGAACTCCCACAGTCGTAAAGCGTTAGAGTGACACACCCAAGATCGGCGAAGCGGCTGCATCTCTGAGGCTGTGTCCAATCGAAGTGCAAGCTCAGAACGCAGCTCGCCTGGCCAAGGGAACACAACTGTATATGATTCTCGTGGGAAATGATCGTTCAGGCCTAGAAACTGTTCGCGCCGTCGCCCGGGATCTGCCATGATAACGGTGGACCTCGGCAGTCCGGGAACGGATTGAAGATCGTTGAAAACTCGAAACCTTGAGTTGTGAACCCCTGGGCGAAGGCTTCCGCTGCCCGCCGACCAAAGGCAGACGCCTCCAATCCCAGGCTGCAGGCTGCGGCCCCCGAAGGGTGTGTGATACTTCATTGACGGACCTCTGCCGGCCAGTACAGCACGTCTGCAAATACCTGAAACAGCGAGCCTCCATGCTTTGAGTCTGAATCCGAGGGCCGCTGAGAGCGCAGCAACGTAGTCAAAAGCTTTTCCACCTCGACACCTGGCTTTGAGATCTCAGCTTACATGGCGATGGTAACCACCAGCTCCGGAGCCCGGAGTGCGGGCGCGTGGCGGTAAGGACTCCGACGAGGTCACATCGAAGACCTGCCAAAGCACTTCAGAAAAGCTTCGATAAGCCAGCAATGCCAGCAACAGCATCCTCAAGCCTGACCCTGGAGATCCAGGCCATTGAGATGGGCAGACCGCTGTGCAGAGTCCACGTTCCTTGACGGGGGAGGCCCCCGCACCCGCACGGTCCCACTTCCGGCAAAGCAGCTAAGCTGGTGGGTGATCTGGGCACGCGACAGCTTGGCACGATCTGTTGCAAGGACGGACCGTGCACCGCCTGAATCTCGACATTACACAATGGTTCTAGATAAAGTGTTCGGAGGTGACCCGCCCGAATTGAACAAGCCTAGGGGCCTAGAAGTGCAGCGATTGCCACGAAGCCTGGAATCAGCGACGAGCTCGGAGCGATAAACACACGGAAAAAGCTGAGCCTTGCGCCTGTTCCACAGCCAAGTTCCAGCACCTCACATCATGCTTACGTTTGCATCGAATGGAACGGAGCAATGCTCAAAAGGCTGCCGCAGAACGGCCCTGGAGATCTTCTGACAGAAGCCTGCGCGGCGCCGCGGCGCACTCGAACTGCCTTGCACTGCGGCACACTGCGAGACCGAGGCGCGGCTCCTGTCTGCAACCAGGTACGCAGAGGGCCAGGCCTGACACACCCGGGCCCCACAATCGCCCCCAAGCCGCTCAGCTGTGGATCCGTGCATCGCATACTGGATCGCCTTGGAGCCAAATGGATCATCGTGCCCAAGCTCCTTGAAGCTGCGCGTCGCCTCGATCGGACGCTTATATAAAGGTGTACGGCCAGCGGGCTCATGTCGATCTCGAGCAGTCCAGTAGTCTAGTATCACTTCACTCCGCTCTCCTACAATCAAACTTAGCCTTGATGTTGGCAAGCAGCACTTGGTGGCCCTGCCTGCTGGCTGTCAGCAGCCTCCAGAAGCCGCAGGGACATCTTCAACCTTACCGCTCAAGTGCGGCGTCGGGGAGCCTTACAAACTTCAACTCCAGCCCCAATGCCTCGGCAACGGCACTTCCAGCTCCTGGACGGCAATGTGGTGAGCCTGGACTGGCAAAATACTCGATTCTTCGTTACGACCGTGCTTCTGCATACGATCCTAGCCGAAATTCTTTTAAAGACTTTTAGAAATTCTCTTGGGTGCGCTGCTGGCAGCAGTCGCAGTCGTCGTACTTGTAGTAGTCGTCGTCGTAGTAGTGGTCGTCGTAGCCGTAGTCGTGGGTGTCCGCATCGGCGTCGGCGTGGTCGTTGCCGTCGTCGTCGTCGTAGCGGTGGCGGTGCCGGTGGCCGGAGCAGCAGCAGCAGCAGCAGCTGCTGGGAGTTGTAGTAGTATTCGAAGTAGTAGTGGTGGTAGGCATGGGAGTAGGAGCAGGAGTAGGGAGAAGTAAGAGCAGGAGGCGCAGCAGAATTATATGTAAACTTGCCCTTGCCGCTGGAGCTCTGGTTAGGACTATATTAGCTGTCTTGTCGACATCCCTTCATGAGTCCATGAACGAACACTTACATAAGCTCCTGGGTGGTGCACTCCGCTGTCAGCTTGTCGGATACCTGAACAGGTACAGCCCACCACAAAAAGCAGCCAAACAAAAAGAGTGTCAGCTCTAAGTAGTTGTCGCCACTTGCTTATGGCATAATGGGCTTGGAATTTGGTCCGGGTTTGACGTCAAGTATATGCTGAATTCCGTGCTGCATGAGTGTGACCTCCTCACAGTTCACCGAGTTCGAAACCCCAACTGAGAACTCAAACTCGGATTGAACAGCAGTGCCAATAGCCATGGTAAGTGAGAGCAACAGGCGTACCAATAGCAAGCACATGCAAGCACAACAGCGACAACGAGAAGACTGCTTTGAACTGACACTGACACGAAAATGCGGGTTTTCAGTTGCTTATGCTGTACGAGTACCGGCGAACCGAGTGAAACTGTGAGCTTGCTTAACTGATCTGGATTTCAGCTTTTGAAGTTATCGGGGACCGACCGAACGATGCACGGCCTGGAAGGGAGCTTTGGTAAAGGTCGTCTTCGTCCGAAAGTCCGTTTTCAGGTAGCCATAGGTCACCTCATACTTTCAGCTCCGCCAACAGAAGGTCGGGCTCCGGGGTTTCAGTGACTAGTTTACATTTACGAACCCTTCGCAGCAGAAACTCACCTGACTCCGCAGACAATGCGGCACCCATCGCTTCCCGATGACCATGATGCCGGCACGAACAGGAAACGTCAATACTCAAGGCCGACACGAAAGGAAAGCTTGGCATGGTGGGAAGACTGATGCAGCAGCACCGTGCGAAAGTGTAGCTGCTCTCAGACGACCGAATGAATTCTAGCAAAACCCTGCCAGTCATCACACTGCAGTCGCCACACCTTTTTCCCAGGACACCAGCTCAATTCGACAAACCTGCCCTTTGGCATCGCACATCGCCATACCTCATTCAAGCCCCCTGCAGACTTCTTGCAGTATTTCGAGGTTTTTTTGGACTTGCGGAAATGCTCTGCTGCCGCGTACAGATCATGGCTCTTCCCACTCGTCCGGATCCCATCCTGCCGCGTTCGAAGCTGAGCTTCGAAGGATGGGGGGTTAATGCATCTCGAGTCATTGCAATGGTCTCATCTGTTTACTGAGTAATCATTACTGCTTGACTGGCGTGTTTGCACGAAGTGCACATGCCAGCGACAGCATGTATTGAATGCTGGGCCAATGTTCGTAACTTCCGTTGACGTGCCCGAACAGGAACGGTGAGCCAAAATGTTACACATGCGCAAGTGCAAAACGATAGGCGCTTGTCCCTTTTCGTGGCAACGTGCCGCAATGCAATGTGCTACCATTTGCCTCATGTCCTCATATCTTACAGGTTGAATACACGCTGGTAGTATGTGCAATGTGCATGTTGTGCATCCGCATACCTGCGCTGGTTACCGGTTACCCGGTTCAGCGAGGCTTTGGTTTCGGCCGCCACATGGGATCCTACACGCGAGAGGAGCTTGCAAGACTGCTCGTATTGCCTCCGCCTAGCACCGGCGTAGCCTTCCTTACGAGCTGGCTGCTTGCTGTTTGTCTGTCAAGTGTTGTAAAGTGTTGTGAGTGCTGTGTGGGGTGTAAGGTCTGAGCATCGTTCGGCTTGTGCTGAGCCTGCCTTTGTGTTGAAGGGAAAGCTTGCCTGAAATAAACTGTGCTGTTCGTTTCAAGGAGCTCCAACACCAACAACCACAAAATGAAACTCCTATCTCATTGATTTGGCTTCTCAGAAGTGGGCGTCTTGTTTCCGGGCTCTGCCTCTGAACGGCCCGTCTTCGTCGTGAAGGCCCAGGAGGTTCATCCTGCCTGTGAGACTTGGGCACTACATGCGCCACTGCTCTCATTGCATGATCCGCAGCCCGGCCTGTCGCACGACACTTCTCGGCCATGGTTGCCTGATACTGACAAGAGAGAGAAAACCAATCAAGGTTCATTTTGGGCCGAAACTGGTCTAGCAACAGTCCTTTCGTCGTGCATGGCGGACCAAACCGGTGCCGGCTTAGGCAAGTTGCAAAGAGCGAATGTCCGTCTCCAACCACGCCTGGGATGGGTAGCGCTCGACTGGCGGCTACTCGTCGGGTACAACTTATATGTCTCGATCGGAGCAGGTCCGAGGTCCGGAGAAGCCTGCAGCCATGGCGCGGGCTGCCATACCTGTCCAGACAGAGGCTAAGCCGCGGCTAAGCACAAATCTTGCGAAAAGCGATATCTCAGACTAGCGACTAGCACATACCAGACCCACTCAAAAAGGTTGCGAAGAGGTGTGCAAGCAGACGTTGCAGCTGAGCAAAATCAAAGCTGTCGTTAGTTGAGATGCTCATCAAGGCGAAATCCAGCACGGAATTTTCCTCAGAGGCACAGCTAGCACGATGAGGGGAGCCAATCAAGCTTCTTGGCAACACGGTCAAAACCATTTATCACAGCTTGGCAACGATCAATCGGCGCTGGCGTTGCTTTGGCCTTGTCGGAATGGAGCCCGATGCACAGCTCCCACCTTCAATGCGTCTGTACACGCAAACTGCTCCTCCTGAACACTTCGCTTGACCGCAGAATCAGTGCAAGCCTCGAGAGGCGGACTCGAGCCTGGGCCTAGGAGCCCGGAACTGTTATGGCCCTCACTTTATCCACGCAACATTCGCCACCCGCCGAGGCGTGGTGATACCATGTGCTCTGTGCTTTAGGCAGGCAGGATTCGACTGACGGTCGCCTGTGTTCTCAGTTTCTTGCACTGATCTCGCGAGCGCCGCACTGTAAGTCTATGTCTCGCCTTCAGCCCTCCTGTCTGTTCCTGGCCCCTACTACATGCCATTTGCCGGCTGCAAGTCTTGGAGATGGGCAGCCTGCTCCGAGACGAGAATGATCCCGGGGAGTCAAAACAAGGCAGTATGCCGCTCCTATGACTCAGTCGTCGGAGCTCCAGTCGGTAACCTCCAACAAACCCCACAAGGTGGTTGGTTAGCGATGGTTTTCGGACTTCGCGTCGCGCTTCATCGAGGCACCGCAGCGAGATATTTGATTTGCTGGCGACACCTTCACACATTCAATTCTCGACACACACGGCCAGACATCGCGTTCACCGTGAACATTGCAGGAGGGCCCGTCAACGAAAGGCTGCTGCTAGGCGCAGATGCAATCGACGCTCTGCTTTTTACCGAGGGGAAGGGTGTCGATGGCTAACAGCGGAGGCAGCAGCAGCAGCATATGTAAGAAGACACGACTAAAAAGCTTTGTTCGACGGTCGTCATCTTCCCAAGACCGGGTGGCGAACCTGTGCAGAGCTCGTTCCACCTTTCTTTCAGACCTCGCATCCAGCGCATCTCTACCGACTCTTGAAGTCAGATTCTCAGAGGCCCAGCTAGGTGCCCTGCATGGAGTATCTGTGACCACCACCACTCTCAGATTCAGATTCGTGCGTGCTAGCTCCTTCTTCATGTACTCGATGTAACCATCGAGTGTAGGCCACTTGTTGGCTGCAGTCTGGAATCTCTCCGTGTTGGGTTTATAGAACCACGTGGCGGCCTCCTCGAACTGTGAAGAGCACCTAACACCTGGGAGCCTGGGACCTAGAAGCACCACATGCGGCATGCTCAAGACTGCGTGCCTCGCACTTCCAGGGTTTGTCTCCTCCTCGCAGGTGCACCACCACGTAGTCATCTTTCTTGAGACCTTCCCGGAGCATGTACCGACCTGAGCAGCGGCGAAAGCCCAGAACCAAGAAGCTCCGATTACAGAGCGCTCACAGCTTGGGTCGCCACGTACTTTGTCGGCCATCCATCGGCGCAGTCTCAAGTTTACGATTTCTTCGTAGTGGTAGTACCGGTGCTGGTCACCTGCAAAGACGACGACCTCTTCGCTGTAGTCCTCTGCATCGCCGTTTGCAATAGCATTCATGCGGGTATTGTTCTCTGGAAATTTCAAGAAGTTCCAGTGGGCTTCTGTGATGGCGTCGAGGTGATGGCGAAACATTGCCGGCCGCACTCGCAGGTGTTCTTGCAGTCTTCGCCAAATGAATAGGAACTCGTTCGAATTGAATACGTCTACTGTTCGCAAACGAAAGAAAGCTTCGAAGTTGAAGCCCCCATCACGGGCGAATTTCGGATCCCTCCAATCCAGCACCAAGGCACGGCCTGTGGCTCGCGCATAGCGAAGCACCATCAGCAGCTGTTGTAAACGGTCGCCGAGCCCTTCCGTTCCCTTGTGCACCACAAACCGCAATCCGTGAAAGCCAGCCTCCACGGGCTCACTGGGACCAGAGCCGGAGCCCACAGAGAGGAGGCAGATGACACCTACTCTGAGGCGCATCGGACAGGAAAATGACTCCCCGACGCTTGTACCCTGACCGCTGCAGGTGACCCGAGAGCCCAGGCTAGAATTTCTGACGTGTTTTGGCTCTGCACAGTTCCGAAGGTTTTTAGGAAACTAGTGGACAAACTAGCAATTGACTTGGAATTTCCGAATTTCATGCCTTCTGACGGAAAACCAGTCGGAACTGACTTTACGAGTAGGGCGCTGACAGTTTGTGGCGGTTCGCAACGTGCTTTGGGGCCTTGCAGCCCAAGCCAAAACCCAAACCTTGAGCCTTCAACTTGCAATACAACTCCAACCCACACACGCTAATCTGGATGTCCAAGTCCAAACACAAGGCTGCAAGAGTTGGGTACTGGGCTTTCTGAAGTATCTCTTGAGGCGGCCTCTGGCTCTCACACCCAGACAAATGTTAGGACAGGCAAGTGGGGGACTCGCTTAACACACATGGAAACTAAGAATTTCAGAGTCATCTGGCCGTCCTGGGTACCTTTCATCAGTGCTCCCACTACGGCGCTTACAGTAGCAGCTTAGCGCGGGGCTGCTTACTGGAGCGGCACCGGGTGCACGATCTCCGAGCACACCTCTGCTCGAAGGCACCAGTCGAGAAATTCGTATTTTCTGCAAGCGCAAGAGCGAGAATCAAGCAGACGAAATCTCTTCGTGACTCCACCATATGCAAGCGTCCAGGTTTGTCCAGCGTTGCAGCGTGAACCTGAAGGCCTTCTTCCCGGTACTGTTTCCTTTGCAATGATCGTCTCTCTAGAAGCTCTTCAGCTTCTTTTGTGCCGCCTGTTGCTGTCTGCTACATGGCACTGGTAGGGCCACTGCCTTGGAGAATCTGCAAGGCACGGAGCTGCTCTGCAGCCTCTTCGTCGCATTGCGCCAGCTGGGCATCCTGTGCTGAGAGCAGCACTACATCGAGGGCTCGATGCCGCCGAGGCACCGTAATGCGAGGACCGTGGGCTGCATGTTGAAGAATGATGCTGGCCTCGAGGTTCTGTGACAGGTGGCTCAACACGCTGGACATCATTGGACATCCTGCCAAGGGCCAAGGCGGCGGCTCGGTGCGCCTCATCTGCCTCTGTGGCAGTCGCCTGCGGGGCCAAGAGCCTGAAAGCGAGACCCTGCTAGGCTCGTGGGCCCAGTAGCCGTGTTTTCCCAAGGCGCAGTCGCCAGCAGCTCATTCAGGCTCGAAGGCTGCCCCTGGGCCTGAGAATCCCGAAGCGGCCGAAGGGTACAGTCACATCTCAACGCTTCTGTGGCCTCTGGGGAGGTGCATTGCTTCGAGGCCATGGCAGACCCATGTTTCGTGTTCTGCGTTTGCTATTCAACTATTCCTGACTCCAAACACTATAGGTTTCTTTTGGCCTTCAAGGTGTCTCGCGATGCAAGCTGCGCCCATTGCGACAGCCCGACTGTATCATGGAGGGGGGAGTACGTGACTTTCTGGGGCCAACCAGGGGCGATACAGCATGGCAGGTGCTTCTGTTGAAGTTACCTTCACAGCCGGCAGCACGAGGCATAAAGAGATCGGATGGCCTGATGGCCTTGTCTATCAAGGGCATGTTGACGCGCTTCCGCATCTCAAAGAACATGCCTCTCATGCTGACTTGTTTAGGAACAAAGGCTCCTGGCTTGCCGAATTGACGAACTCCCCGCCTACGTGCTTCGTGTCATCCAGCCCACCGAGGCGCGACATGGCATTTGCTAGGCGGACGACCTGCCCGGAGTTCTGGATAGGTACGGCTCCAACCGGCCTCAATAGCACGGCTTCGCCTCAGCATTGGTGAAGAATTTCATCTGCCTCCGAACAGCACCCACGAGGGTCTCCAACAACCTGGCATCAGCATGTGGCAGCGCAATGACTGGAGACGGGACTTTTGCCAGGGGCACTCGTCATCGTTGTAATAGATGGCCCCGAAGCTGCACGGTGAGCATCATGCATTCGTGACAAAGCAATGGTTCGTGAGCTGCCTGGCCTCAGCACTATGTCCAGAGTCTCCTCCGCCGGAGCTGTCTCGTCTTGAGAGATGTCCAACATGCTGTGCACACTCTGCGCTAGTCACACTGCTGGTGTCTCCTGTGGGCTGAGCTCGTCCACCTGATCCGTCACCTGAAGAACTTCTTCGTGCAGGCATGGCTCTCTCAAAACTACAGTAAGGACCTTTTCTGCAATCACCTCGAAGACGTCGTCATCCTGACCAATCTGCACCAGAACTAACTGGCTTTGCCTTGTGAAATTCAGGCTCCTCGAGCTCCAACTCCTCCAGCGCTTTGGCTGCCCAGGCAACAGACGAGATCGATGGACACCTCAAACCGCTAGCTCTGGAACGTTGCAGCCACTTCTTTCCAGGTCCCCGAACCTTTGGATCTCATCTTTCAGCAGGACCTTATACCAAGAGCGTTCTATGCTCCATGCTCTCCCTCTCACAGCTCCACAGGTGCCGGGGCGGCAACGTGCAACTCCTCAAGCTCCTCAAACACAAAGCATGAAACTGCCCTCTATGTGGTGAGAGCGAGGGCAATGGCCTCCTCCTCAAGCTCCGGGACCTCTTTGGTACCCCTGAAAATGCCATGCACTCAGCGCCCAGCTCTTTCGCAGGCATCCAACCTGCCTGTGCTTGTCATAGAGGTCTTCGAGACTTTGAAAGCCGCTGCCGACTGGTCGAGGTATCAATGCTCGATCCTAGGGCAAGAGATAGGAGTACAGTGAGCGAATCACCTGCTTCCTTGCACGCTTCGCCTTCGGAACCGTTCCGGTCTCATTGAGCGGCTCTTCTTCCTCTTCCTGTGTGTCAAGAGCTGACGTGTTTTCTTATCTTTCATGTGGCCATAGACAAAGACTCTGCTCCTCGAGATCGTCCAGGCCATCGAAGGCCTGAGCACTGCAGACCGCAGCTGCGCTGCTTTGAACACTTCCCGTGCTTGGCAGGGTAACCTCTGAGGCAGCTGCCAACCGGGTACGGGTGGGGAAGGACTCGCCTGGACCTGGGCGAGCGGAAAAACCGAACAACAACAGCAGGATGCTAAGGGAGAGCAGTGTGATGCACACGCACCTCGATGCACTGACCTTCTACAACGTAAAGCAAGTTGCCACCAACGGCACAGCACAAGTGTATCTCATTGTGTACACACGATCGAATGCGTCTGAAGACGAGATTTAACAGAAGAATGAATGATTGATGAACTGCCTGTGAGTGCGAACACCCTTTGCACTTGCAAGGCAACAGAGGCTGCTCCGTGCTGTACAACCGAGACAACGCTCACACGGACACACACACACACAGACTACCACAAGGAGGTAGTTTCTAGAAAGACTGACAACTAAACGGGAGCACTTCTCCTACAGGTGTGTGTGTGTGTGTGTGTAATGTATGGTGTATTGTGCCGATGCAGTACGACACAATTAAGGCAACGTCCTGCAATGACGTGCAAGGCAACGCAGCTTGATGATGATGATGATGATGATGATGATGATGATGATGATGATGGCGATGATGATCGTGATCAACGTACGGGAATTGTTTGTGAAATCAGGCATGTTGCACAAATGATGTGACTGCTTGCGGCTCCACGAGCGCTTGTGCACGTAGGCGCAACGAATGAGAAGGGTGCGGTCTGCATGTACGGTCGTCCGGTACTGTGGTTGCTGCTTCGGTGTTGAATCCCATGTCGCTGCACCAATCCTGCGAGACTTGTGCGTTTCTGTGGACTGCTTTCAGGCTGGCAGCAGGTCCCTGCCTTTCGGCAAGGCCTTCCACCTGTCTTGCAAGGGCACCTCAGGCAAAAGGGCGTCCGGCAGGCACATTCCTCTGCCAACTACGGCCCCGCCACGAAGACTGCTGCCCAGGAGACGGCGGCCAGCGCGATGCCGGAGCCTCTAGTGCGAAACTCGTGTCATCTGGCCTTTCATGTGTTCTCTCCTACCTGCATTCCTTCGAGCAGGTGTGGTTTGGTGCTGTCAGCTCTTGCAGCGTCAGGGTGCAACTCTGACACGTGCCCGGAATCCGGAACCGAGATTCAAATCCTGCGGATTTGTCGAATTAGAGCACTACCGAAGCTGGTGCACTGTTCTCTGGTGGAACAGGAACGGCATGCCAGCTGCAGTCCGCCTGCGGCTACAAGTAATTGCTCTTTTTCACTGTTTGGCAGCGAGCTCAGACGTCGTTGTATCAATCTGGGCCGTCTGGGGCCTTGGAATGCTCGGTGGAGACAAAACATGACACGAGGGGTCAGTGCTCCGAGTCGGCAGAGATGCAGAAGATAAAACCTTTCCCAGTGCGAGTCCGAGCAGCCGGCCTCTTTCTATCAACCTTTCAGATCTCAAGAGAACGAAGGGAACAGAGAAACGACTAGGAGAGACGGGAGGCTTGGGACATGCCGTGTTTTTAGGACCGCGCCTTCCCAAACCCGCCTTGCTGGAGGTACTTGATGGAAGGCACCCCAGCCTCGTGTAGGAGCCTGTTCAAGCCCACCTCTCCATCGTAGCCGAAGGGTCCAGGCTTTGGCAGTGGTCCGATGAAGGTCACTGGAGCGGATGGCAAACAGGAGAGAAATTGGACCAGCTCAAGGTACGAGCAGTGGTCCGAATAAGGATAGTGTGAAACCCCATCATCACTAACAAATACCGGAACCGATTGCCCACTAACAGTATGGGAATCCTCATAGCAAGGCACATATTCATTCCGCGATAGCTCGGCCCAGCCAGATGGATCGATGGCGTGCGCGGCAGCTCCTGATTCAGTAGCCTGCCAGAGGCTTTTTCGCACATTCCTGCGCGAAACAGCCCAGATGCAGCCCTGCATGCTGCGACGCCGAAGCTCCTCTGCTGGAGCACTCTGGGGATTGCATGGTTGCTCCCGAATGTTGCTTCCATGCAGCCCCAGCTCCTTTGCGACGAGCATTCGCTCTTTCGGAAGCAGGACGACTGTCTTCAGGCGCTGTGCCAAATGAGCCAGTAGCGACTCTTTACCCAATTTGTAAATAACCACGAAGGCTATGCAGGGCCACTTGCTGATTATGCGCTTTGTGATTGCCTTGCAGACTTCTGCCCGCGGAGCGTGCGTGAACTGAGGATGGCAAAATGTGTTGTCCAGGAAAATTCGCGAGAGTTCGGCATTAGGTCGGGCGAGAAGGGGAAGAACGCTCAGATGCACATGATCGTCATGAAAGCGGAAATCGCCAGTGTATAGTAGCGTGCCAAAATATCCTGAGAATATGAACATAACAGAGCCTGGCACGTGGTTGGCATCTACCAAGCACACTTCGATCTCGAGGCCTCCAGCACTGCCCAAGAGAATGCGATGCACAGGCCCAATCTCCAGCGGCTTAAGAAACGGCTCTAATGGCGGCCAGCGCCGACGCAGTAATCGTGCCGTGACGTGTGATGTGTAGATGGGCCCACGGCGCCAAGATCCGCTCAGCCCCTTCAGGTGGTCGTCGTGAGCATGGCTGCAAAAGAAGGTCACTCCAGCGTCATGATTGAACGAGTCGACGGCCACCGGAGCCTCTTCCAGCAGCATGGCTGCAGCTTCAGTCTCACATGGTTTCTAAACAAATTCTTGGCTCACAAAGGCCCGTGTCTGGGTTATTCTCTTCTCTTGCTGGGGGAAGAACCGTTGACAAAGCTGCCTGGCGCACCCTGATGAATCCATGAAATGGGCTAACTCTGCTATAGAGCCGAAGCAGAGTAGGAGTGTAGCGCTCCTTTCTCCTTCTATCCTCCAGCCATTGATCCTCGTCTACTCATGACTCGACTGTGAAGCTGCGCTGAGTGACGGAACTTGCTACGTGTCGCCGCCGCCATGGCACTCCGATGCCCATAGCAAAGTGTTGTAGGCATGCAGTTTTGAACACTATCACTATCGGCTATCGGTGGCAGTCATCAAGGATTTGCCTCGGGGCTTGAGAAGCTTCGTCGACTGCATTGGGGCTGCGAAGCACCCTGTTGAAACTCGGCCGTCTGGCTTTCTAGTTCGTGATCCGAAAGATTGTCAGTTCGTGCAGAGCAGTCTACAGGTACTATGCCGTTTCGAGATCTTCTGAATGTGTCTTGAGCTGCGAAGGACAAACAGCTCCATGTGCACGCGCCTCATCTCATCGCCCAGAGAAGACTGCTAACACTAAGCCGAACTGCTAAGGCAAGGCCGGCATGCGCCAACCCTAACTTTTGCGAGTGATGGGCTGCGCCACTTCTGAACACCCTTATTGCAGCTGCCGGTCCGTTCGTGTCGATGCCCTTTGGATCGAAAACGAACCAGCGCAAGAAATTTGAATTTTGCTTTTTGTGGCAGCCCTCCTGATCAGAACCATTAAATCTCTACAGTCTCTACGAGCACTTGATTACTACGGAGGGCCACCGCGCGAACACGAGGTTCTTCTGCCGCCTCGAGGAGAAGCAGTCAAGGAACCACGACAGGATCCGGAGGGCAAACATGTCACAACGTCTTCGGTGCGAAATCTGTTTGCTCACTCCAGCATGATTAACCGCGATGCTCAGCAGCCATGCGCAAACCTTCAGGAAGCACTGGCTCGGATAGCATTCGGCACGAAGGGCCGGGAAATTGAGCTAGATACTGGCTAGGCAGAACCACGCAGGTGGAGGCGGCGCAGAAGCCGGTCGCTTGCCTCAGAACCACATCCGGATCGCTTTTCAGCAAGGACATTTACTGCAAATCGTTGTCGTGGATTGTCGTGGAAAGTGGATGGGCTACACGACAGAGCAAGTGCATGCCGCTGTTTGGAGGTGTCTTGCCTTCTCTTCTGTTTTTGCCTCGTCCGCATCGGCAAACTCCTGCTCGTGGCACGGCAAGACAAGAACACTCAGCTGCAAGCGCAGACCTATCCGTTGCTACATCCGCAACGGTCATATCTTCAAGACCGAGGATGCACCTCCCGCCCTTGTCATCGCCCACCACATCAGCAAGTCACTCAGTCGACCTACCAGAAAGGGTCAAAACCGTCCCCGCCCTTTTGTCCTTAGAGTCGGCTTTCGGGAGATCCACGGGACGGTCTGCAGCCTTGTTGCCTCGGCGAAAGCACACTTTGGCAATCCAGGGCAGGAACCCAAAGCCTCTTTACTCTCAATCCTTCTCGTGGAAGCGTTGATCAGTACACAGTCTTCAGCGCTGGACTCAGTGCACTCGTGACGTGGGTTGCTGCAGCTTTGGCGGCTTCCTGGCCAAGACGGTGTTTGGCTCTCCCTCAAAAAAAATCGGGCTTTAAGCACTCTCTTCCCTGAGGCGGTCCTTCAGCGCGACCTGACACCGCTTGAGGAAACAAGGATAAGGCTACTTCCAAGCATGCAAGCTGCCCAGTGTGTGTCAGCAGGCAGGCAGGCAGGCAGGCAGGCAAGCAAGCAAGCAAGCAAGGTACCTGGGCGACCGTAGTGGTGACAACAGCAGCGGTTGCGACCAGCTCGCCACCGTCCAGACTCGGCTCATCCAAGAAAGGGTCCCAGGGCTTCCTGCAGTTTCAGAGGCACCGCCAGCACCAATGGAACACAAACGTACCGGGCTTTGCGTAGCAACGCAAGCTTCAGAGCTGAAGTCCCGCCCAGCAAGCAAAGCTTCTTGTAGCACCACTCCTTGCACTCCGTGCATTTGCATAGATGCAGTGGGCTGCTGAAATCCAGGCCTGCCCTGGACCCAGTGGAAAGTAGGTCACTCGGACCCAGTACGCAGACACACCTTGCCGGGGGTAGGCAAGCAGGCACACGAAAGGCAAGGTTCCGGCACCATTGAATAGCCTGCCACCACGCCCATGATGCCTGCCACTGTGCACTGGGCCAGGCCTGATGGGAAGCTCTGCTCTGGTTCGACGACGACAGCCTCACTGAGCCCCTCGCTGTGATCCTGGTTATAAATCCTGGCCCAGGGAACCTCTGATGTGGCACCGGGAGCACTGGCTCCACTCGACTCAATACATCTTAGACTCTGACGGGTCCCATGCAAACTAAGATCAGCAAAAGGATCTTCGTAGTCAGGAAAGGCTGGTCGTCGAATCCTGGGCCTGGTCAGGTCTGCCATCGCAGATCAAGGCGATAACAAGGAGATTGGGCACCACATCTCGCGCGAAGCAAGGCGGAATTCGGCAACCGGAGCCTCGCAAAGCCACCTGTCGCTGCTGATCCCTCATGCCATGCTGCACCACATTACAGGTACTACGGTGTCGGTCTGGTCCTCGCCTCCAGCAAACACCAGACCTCAGCTGGGCAGCCGATCGTAGAAAGTTGGTATCCAAATCCTTTGTATCCTGTATCTAAATTTTAGCATCTGGCCATCGTCGTGGCGGCATTTGCGACATGCCCAGAGGGCATGCCAGGTTTCATCTCCCACCTTCCGGTCTTTTCATTGAACCTCGGCTTACGGAGGCAGTGCATGGCATATCAGAGGCTCAGCACAGGAACTCGGCGACAGGCTTGCGATTCGCAGACCCTTCTGGGCGAGGCTGTTTGAGGATTGGCTTGAACACCGCCTGCACCATGTGGCGGGAGAAGCTGCTGTGGGCTTGCAGGATCAGCCGACCCATGCCTCGTTCAGCAGCGTCACGACGGCTGAAGTGGCCTTCCCATTATGAAGATGCCCTTCTTATGGCGCAGTCGAGATCGCCCGGAAGGTCAAATGCTTAGGAATGCTTAGGAATGCAAAAGGTCGAATCCGCTGGGATCGCAGCGAGCCCAAAGAAAGCAATGAAGCGCCACTCGACCAACACGTCGATGAAAAAGCTGCCCAAAGGAAGCGAGGCTGCTCGTTCCGTGCAAGAAAGCCGATCTACTCAATCTACAATAATGTATCAGGACTTGAGTTGACTTGAGTTCGCAACACGAGTGGCACCACAAAGGGCAAATACCTGGCGGGGCACAGACTTGTTGACTTTACAGTATCCTCTGGGTAGTTTGACTGCAGCGTGTTGGCGGTCTTCTCATTATTCATATTCCTGGTACCATTCATGACTGCTGCTGCAGTACTGACGGTGCAAAGCGTAGTACTACTACTCCTCCTCCTCCTCCTCCTCCTCCTCCTGCTGCTGCTGCTGCTGCGGCTATTGCTACTACTACTACTACTACTACTACTACTACTACTACTACTACTACTACTACTACTACTACTACTACTACTACTACTACTACTACTACTAACTACTAACTACTACTACTACTACTACTACTACTACTACTACTACTACTACTACTACTACTACTACTACTACTACTACTACTACTACTACTACTACTACTACTACTACTACTACTACTACTACTACTACTACTACTACTACTACTACTACTACTAGGCCTTCCCCCCCTGGTGCGACGCCGGTCGCTGAGTTCGTGGATGTACAACATGTTCCATCACAGCTGTCGCGGTCCAAGATGCGGCGTAGCAAGGACAAGGATCGTCCACACCGCTGCAGTAAATGTCAGCAGGTAGGACATAGAAAAGACAGCTCGAAATGTCCTTTCTACGATGGATCGACGCCGGAGAAGCCGAAGAATGCTCTGTTGGCTAAGTTTGCACCTGCTTACTTGGAGCAAAATGTGAGAGGGAGAACATTAGTTTCGCTCAAACAACTTGCTTGATGAGTGCACGGGCTTTTACAGAAGCGTCAGGTGTGCAGAAGCTTCAGAAGTTGGGCATGTTGCCGATGTTGCGTAAAAGACACTGCTGGAAGTGCGGCAGAGGCTTCTTCAAAATGCGCTAGACCATGGACGTCATTAGGTTTTGGACATGGATGCTCTCCAAACCAAAATGCGCTAGACCATGGACGTCATTAGGTTTTGGACATGGATGCTCTCCAACCGAAATGCGCTAGACCATGGACGTCATTAGGTTTTGGACATGGATGCTCTCCAAACCAAAATGCGCTAGACCATGGACGTCATTAGGTTTTGGACATGGATGCTCTCCAAACCGAAATGCGCTAGACCATGGACGTCATTAGGTTTTGGACATGGATGCTCTCCAAACCAACGATTTGAATGAAAATCATGATCAAAATGAGGCCCAAAAAACCTTGATTCTGATCGCTAGGTTTTGGGCACGAGAATCGAGACACCCAAAAACAGTAAAAAATCATGAAACTCGCAAAGACAAGTGCTGTAAATACCATCATTTTCGGCTGCGAGATTGATGAACAATGTTAGAAAATATGATAAAAATACACACGAAACCAGGAACAGTTGCCACTTTCGATAACTGCGGAAAAAAAGTGCTGTAAAACACAGCATTTCCGACCACAGCAAGTCCCAAAAATAAGAGGTTTGGGCGTCGCACCGTGGGGGGAAACCCTACTACTACTACTACTACTACTACTACTACTACTACTACTACTACTACTACTACTACTACTACTACTACTACTACTACTACTACTACTACTTACTGGTACTACTACTGCTGCTGCTACTACTACTACTACTACTACTACCACCGTCAACTACGACTTGTCTGTGCGCCGATTGACTACTACTTTGCGCTACTACTGGCGACTGGCGACTGGCGACTGGCGACTGGCGACTGGCGACTGGCGACTGGTGACTGGCTGCTCAACTGCTACTCTTGATTCATGCTCCTGAATGCTCCTGCTCACGCTCCTGCTACTGCTGCCCCTGCTCCTGATCCAGGCAAGGAACCGTCACCTATTGGTGAAGAGTCCTCTGAAAGATTCGGTGATTCATTGAGTGCTGGTAGGTACATTTATGTTGTTCAGTGTTCTGAAGCGGAAAAGATTGGAACTGAGATTGAGGATCATAGGTGTGACATGACAGATGATCAAGGACTGATTGTCAAACCATCGGATGATCCTTCTCGTGATTTAGGGTTTGATTGGCAAGGCTCTACTGTGTTTGAGATTCTTCCAGTGTCTATTGATGTTGATGAGTATGACCAACCGATTGAGCAAGGTAGAAAACCCAAAGGATTGATAGTTCCTGGAGAACCCACCGATTCGGAACGCAAGCTTCATGAATTGACACATCTCCCTTTCAGGTCCTGGTGTAAACATTGCATCATGGCTAAAGGCAGACATGCTGCTTCAAGGAAATTGAAGGACAGGCAACCTGTGATTCAAGTAGATTATTGCTTCACCCGCACTGATCCAAAACTTGAGATGCAGACATTGCTTGTAGCAGCTGACATTCAGACTGGCTTGTCCATGGCTGTCGTAGTTCCCGCAAAAGGGGAATTGCCATGTGCGGCAGCAGAATTGCGCAAGTTCATCTATGAATGTGGACGTACATTCGGCATGTTGCAATATGACCAAGAGTCCTCTGTGAAAGCAGTGCGTGTCAGAGTGTGCAAAGAAATTGGCGATCTCAGTGTGAGAGCGGCTCCAAAGGACCACCCTCAGAGCCATGGGTCCGTTGGAGCTGCACAACGCGCATTGTATGGACAAATCAAGACATTGTTGTATCATGTACACGAAAGCACAGGAATTGAGATTGATTCGGATTCAGCGCAGTATCCCTGGGCAGTTAAACACTCTCAGTGGTTATTGAACAGGTACTTGATTCATGCTGATGGATTCACTTCCTAGTTCAGGAGATGGAATAGGAATTATGAAGGAGAATTGTGCTGTTTTGGAGCGTATGTTCAGGCGAAGGTCATTGGAATTAGAAGCGGCACCAAGTCTGATTTGCCTTGGAGGGCAGCATTGTGGCTAGGCCGTGATACGGAAGCAAACGAGATCAGTGTTGCAACTGCTGACGGAGTGGCAAAAGTTCGTACCGTTCGAATACTGCCACCCAGCGAGCAGCGGAAACAAGCACCAATTGTTTCTCTCAAAGCATTGCCGTGGAAGCCTAAGACTGAAGGTGAATTCAGCACAGACTTCATATTGCCACCTACCTCCCGGGTATTGACCTTTGGCAAGATTCGCGCTCCACCAGGATTGGAGCCTCCTCCAGAAAACAAATCAGGTGAGTCATTGTCTCAGAACTCCTGCTCCTGCTCCCACTGCTACTGCTGCTGCTGCTGCCGCTGCGACCACCACACGCCATTACTGCTAATACTACTACCGCCTGCAACTCCTCCTCCTCCTCCTCCTCCTGATCCTCCTCCTCCTACTACGCGTAAGGGTACGACGACGACTACCACTACTGCGCGCACGGTATACTCCTCCTCCTCCCATTGCTACCACTACCACTACCACGACCACCACGACCACCACGACCACCACCACCACCCCCGCCACCACCACCACCACCACCGCCGCCACCGCCACCGCCACCGCCACCGCCACCGCCACCACCACCACCACCACCACCACCACCACCACCACGACCACGACCACGACCACGACCACTGCCACTGCCACTACGACTCCTACTACTACCACCACCACTACTACTGATGCTGTCACTGCTGCGGTCACATGCCGATTTTGGGAACTTAGGCCAGTTGAGGCACTGCCGACTTCTCCGCCTTACTTCCGGACTGGGCTCGATTGCAAAACTTAGATTTCGCCATCGCCGAACTTGAGACATGTGCTTTCCCCAGTATGACCAAAATATATGGGCGAAGCGGCAAAGTAGTTCTCCCAGTCTGTCATGTCAGGGATCGAGGACAAACAGTTTCAGGTTGTCAGGTTGTGGATTTCGACTGGACACACAGAGGAACCGTCTGCGACGTTCTGTGCCCACTAGTGACACTCTGACCGAAGCAGAAGATACCACGGCAGCGAAAGCCGGTGGCAGGGAGACCCATAGATCAGCGCCAGGATGTTGAGCGGATTGGTATCGATTGGGAACCTCTCTCATGTTCGGTACCATGTGCCGCATGTAGGCACCTGCCTTGCCTCCATGTGACCTGCAGAATGGCCACCTTCGACTCGAACCTGCAGTGCCGCGCCCACTGCGCCCTCGCATCACAGAGACAAGCCGTCTCGGTTCGGGGCTTTCCGCCCTTTCCGTTCTTGGCCTAAGCAGTCGCACGGTTCAAAACAGCGGTCATCACCCCGTGACGCCGTGACGCCAAGCAACTAATTCGGGATCATTGTCAGGGTTGAGAGGGTCCTGCAACATGGAGCCAACAAAAAAGTGTGGCAAGCAGCCTGTCTCTATCCGTTTTAGTCCCGCAGAGCGACTACTTGGAGGTCCTCCTTAGGATCCACCTGCCCTTCCTTCTTCACCAGTGCAGAATCTTCGTCAGAACTGACCATGTCCTGGCTTTGATCTGCATGATGACCTTGGAACCTTTTTAAAGCTCCCAAGGCTGAGACAGGGCCGGGCGCGGGCCCCCCTTGGGGTGCTCAAAAGGAGATCCCTAACTCTACCAAGATCCCTATCCACTACTGTGACCTCATGCGAGCCAAAATGCATTGTGGATTTGCAAAGGCCGGCAGACTCTGAGACTTTCGGTGCGAAACTAGGAAGAACCTCAATCAGCACTTTTGGAACACACACATTCTTTAAATTCTGCTGGAACAGTCCTCGCCCGCTTCGTGGGAAAGGCCGTCGTTAACAGAGGTTGGGATGGGCAGCCAAACATACAGACAATCAACCATCGAAGCATCAGTCATGAATTTAGGTATGGCCACCCCGCAACACGTCGTCACCATGAGTATTCTTTCTCCCCTTGCTTGATGGGTATGGTTATTAGTATTGCCTGTCCGTTTGAGGCCTTGACGTCCTGGAACAGAACGGCAATTGTTGTCTCCGTCAGGTTACTTCTGCCGGTACGGCAACTACTAGTGGCTCATCATTATGACGTCCGGTTGTTCCATTCCAGGCTCAGGAAAAACATGCACTTGCATGGAATCTGCCGAGCTTGTGAGCTCAGCCACGGCCACGGGGTGACTTAGTCACCGCGGTGCGTTGGGTTCATAACTTTCACTACCGAGCGCCCCCAGGCCTGGCTCGAGGACTCTGCGCAAACGGCTATATAAGTCCTGCAAACAGACCGCAAGCTGGTCCAAGTCCGCCGCATCCCGGGTGAAGACGACTTTGTTCTTCTCGTAGGTTCGGCCTTCGGGTTTTCAAAGCGGAGACGGGCCGGAGAAGGGGTTTTCCCCGTGAGTAGCCGACGCTCCATGTCCTTTGGGAAGAAGCGTTCTGCGATCGTCTTCGCTTCTGCCGGGCCGGTGTTTGCTTGCTCACCTTCTTTGGGTGGATCCTCCGCCCGTGGCACGACACGAAGGGCCACATCAACACTGTCACTCTGAGGTGATGCTCCTGCGGCTCCGGGGTGTCTTTCTTGATAACCTGCGAGGAAAGAATACCGACCCTTGTAAAATTCGAAGCACACCTTTCTCTGCCTCGAAGTTCGTATTGAAGCGGGACCTGATCTTGACGGTCTGAAAGGACGATGAGATACGAAATTGAAGTCTTTGTGGCTATTACCTTGAGTGCCCCACTTATATCTCCCTGCTGGAAAGCTGGAGGTTGTGGACTGCCGTATACCTTTGCAGCACGTGTGCAGCACCAACCCGCTGGGCTCATAATGTGCACCGAGGTCTTGGAAGGCCATTCTGGGGACTGGGGGTATATTCATAATTAACAGTAATTGTATATTCAATTTTATATATTCTATTCTTAGTTATTATATGAACACGTCTTTCAGCGATCTAGTTGAATTCATAGTCCTTGGCTAGCTGAACACGTTGGCGAGTTGCGCGAGTCGTCTTCAGAGTAGTCGGAGTACTCATCATACTCCTCTTCCTCGTGTCACAATATCTAACTCAACATCTGACAAGCCAAGTCAGGTGTAACATGCAGTGTGAAAACCGCGATGACGCCACCTCTTCCTCGTCGTAGTCGTCCCAGCCTCAGTCGAGGCGACGTTCGAAGTCAGCTGATGGCACAGGCTGCCTTGTCCAAGGCGGCGGCCGTGCGCCATGCCGGGTAAGGCCTACAGCTTTCAGCGTGGGGAAGCACTTCCCATACTTCGGTGGCAAAAAAAACATCGACGACTGCTCAGTTCCACAAAGCGATGGCAGGCTGAGTGCGAGCGCATTGGGTCCCAAAGTCCTCGGAAAAGCTGTGGGCTTGTCCCTTAGAGCACAGATGCATGTGCTTTGCAAATGGCTGCTTCGGCTCTCTCTCTCTCACGGCTGAGCAGCGTACGATGCTGTGGTTGGAGGGGACTGCTGCTGCTGCTTGCTGGCAATTCGCGACTTTGACCTGCGCCCAGATGACAAAGGTGCCATGCGGGACACACCACACTGGCACTCAGTGGACCGCGACCTCTGCTCCCGATCCTGAGGCCAGGACAACGTATGCACCTACCTGCTAAGTGCGTGACCCAGCCTCTGCTACTAGCTTCTTCTGCTTTTTGAGCTGTATATCTGGATCCTGCGCCGCGATTACCGCCTCCTCCTGCATCGCATCAGCACTGGCAAAACCCAAGAAGCACTCGCTGTGTCCTCCGCTGTGGTCTGGACATTCCAGCGCTCCACCGTAAATCGCACCGGTGGCCGGTTTCGCTCCACCTGCTCCCAGGCAAGGTTCAGACTGCCGGCAAAGGCAGCCCCAGCACCTGAATACGTTCCCAGAGCTGCTCGAAGGAGCTCACCTGGGAGCAGAGGGGACATGCTTAGTTTCAATGTTGTGATGTTGTGTTGTGCTGACACCTCAAACTGACTCAAACCTCCGAGCAGCCAACGGGCTGCCCAGCGATGTCCACGATGATGTCACCAACCTGGGGCATCCTACGGCTGCGCATGAAGATTATGCCGGTTGCCCGGCTGTCACCTGCCAGCCATGCTTGGCACCCCAAGGATGTACCTGCGACAATTCTGCTTCGGTTCGGACAGTCGGCAAATCTTGAGCAGCCGCTCGCGAGAACAGCATGCTGGAAGAGCCCTCAAATTACACGAAAGAGGCTCTCGAGCTCGGTGGGCGAGGATCTCCACCGAAGTGGACATCGTCGCCGACAAGGATGATGATAGCAGCAACGACAACAACGACGACTACGGCAAGGGCAACCGCCGCAGCGACAACGACAACGACCGACGGGCCAGGACGACGACCACGACGACCACCACCAAGAAGAACAAGAACAATGACAAGAACGAGAGCAAGAACCATAACAATAATTACAATAAGAAGAACAACAAGGTAACAACAACAGTAACAACAACAAGGACAACAAGAACAACAGTTGCAGCAACAGCAACAGTCCCAGCACCGAGCACCTATCGTCTAGCGACCGGCAGCAGCAGCAGCAGCAGCAGCAGCAGCAGCAGCAGCAACCAGCAACAGCAACAGCAACGGTAAACGTAACAGCAACAACAGTAGTCACAGTAGTCGGTGCAGTCGCAAGTCGTCGCCACAGCCGCAGTCGCAGGCGCACAGGCGCAATGGCATCAGCAGCAGTGACAGCGGTGGCAGCGGCAGTAGCAATTAGTCGTGGTAGTCGTGCTAATCGTAGCAGTAGCTACAGCAGTAGCAGTAGCAGTGGCGAGGAGAAGCGCCGGAGCAGCAGCAGCACAGCAGGAGTAGTAAAAATTGCAACTGCAGGTATCAGCATCTCTTAAATATTAAAGCAATACGATTCAAACACGAGTTGCAGAACGCAGCGGTAACAACAAGAACAAGAATGATAATCATGCTGACAGGGAACAGGGAACAAGAGCAGCGACTTACTGAAGTAAACTAGGAAAGATGAAGTGCACCGCGTGTTCTGCACAAAGGAGCACTCGGACGACGCGAAGCTCCATCAACTCCAGGCCCAGAGGTCGCGAGTCCGGAAGCTCCTCCAGAAAAGACCCTGGGCTGCAACCCTTCTCCCGATATGGGGCTTTTCTAGGGGTCCGGCACTCATGACGATGCAAATTCGGGGCCTGCGAACCGAACCGGACTTTAAGCTTTCCAAAGCAACTGCTGGGCCCTGGACCTTGGACTGCTGAGCCCTGGACTTGGTCTCTTCCCTCTCGACGTTTTCGGCTTTGTAGGCATGGAAGAAGCCAAACTGCGGGAAACATTTGGGGTTGTCGGGCCTCTGCATGATTGTCCGGCATGCCGGCCTTGTCGAGCTTCATGCCCTGACAGGGAGTGAGTCTGAGAACTGCTCCGAAGACGCTTTGAACTCTACTCTGCAGGAAAAGGCAAGCAAGGCGCACCAGGACCGTGTCACCCTCAGCCACTTGCTCTCGCTCGAACTTCTTGTTGAGGCCTCGCGTGGAGGAGACATGTCAAGCCTGCGAGGCCTGCGCACATGCACAGAAGCGTGGTTTGGCGCACATCGGATGTAGAGAAAGAACCCGATGCCTGCAAAGTTCTGCTAAGCGAAGGTCCGAAGGATCAGTGCGCAGGGAGGCTCAGCCCGGAGCTGCAGAACAAAGGAATGAGCAGCATCAGCCAGATCCAACTTCCTTCGCACCGGCGGACTCCGACAAAGATCTCCCGAGATGACAAGACACGAGATGCCCGATAGCAATCTGAAGATCCTTCTGGGAGCCGCAATGTGAAGCCCTCGTCCTGCACCGTGGCTCTGCCTGGCACAGACAATGAGCCAATGACATGTGCTCTTTACGGAACATCAGTGCACGGGACTCGACACCCAGTTCGAGGTTTTTCACCTGTGGTCGCCCCAATGTACCCTGAGATTCTGAACAAGCTGATGAAACGGGATCCCCCAAAAACCAAACTCACAATCATCTCACATCACCTCACGTCGCCTTCAGGGGTGGTGCTTGTCACCGTCGTCGTCTCCTCTTTGTAGAACAGCTCGCGCTGAAGAATCACGGGGCACCCCTAAGCTTTGCTCACAAAGCTTCACAAAAAGTTCATGCTCTGATGGATGCTCAGTGTCGAGCTCGTGGTGTGCACTCCCCCTCCTGCCAGCAAGACATCATGGAAGCTTGCGCAATTGTGGAAATCCTTCAAATTGCGGAGCACAGATTCTTGCGATGCCGTTGCGCTTTCCCAAAATGTCAGGCAGCTGAAGGTAAACATCTGTGAACGCTTGTCCTGTCGGCAGCAGTACTCCGTAATGCCCGAGCAAAGAGTGTCGCACCTGACTCTTGAGCGGTTAGACTGGGGGGAAAGAGCCCAAGACGGCCCGAGAAAAAAAGTATGGCTACTATCACAACAGCTCAGGAACTACCAGTGTACACCACCAAGCTGGCAAGCGAAATGATCAAGATAAAGAGCTACCGAAAGCAGTGATTCTTGTTCCTCTGACAGTCTTGATGAGGTCTAGGGTCCTAGGTACGCTCCTGAATACCCAGATACACGCTACATAATCTGAGCATGCTTGTCGCACCAAGCGGCATGACCGGTAACTGCTCTGGGCATTTCGCGCGACCTCGATGGTTCTCACAGCAGGACCACCTTGGTGTCTGGGATCTGAGCAGCTGCTCCAAGCTCGAAAACGTGCTCCGTCAATGAGTCAAGAAGCCCTTCTGCGTTGATGTCACAACGATGGCCGTCCAGGCCTCACGACATGGGCGAAGCAATGGGTCGGGTACCAAAGGCAGACTGCTGCAAAGCTGCATTCAAGAACGTTCACCTCACCCGAGTGGTTCCTTGGATCATGCAAGCACATCAGGGTAGCTTGGGCAGCGCGGCCGAGTCCCTGTAAGTCTTAGAATGAGCCGAGCAGCAGCCACGGACAGGGAGAGTTCTGAGGCAGGACCTGCACTCGACTCTGATACCCGGTAAGCTCCAGAGGAAGTAATACACAGATCCAAAGCCTTCAGCAAGAAAAGATAGTCGACATCATCACCACCACCGCCACCAGCACACATGCGTTGCAACCGTCATAGCCGTAGTCATCCTGGTCGTAATACTAGCATGAGGTGCCTTCACGATGCCAAGGCACACGGCAGCGCATAAACCGTAAGGGCCGGAAGCAAAACAACAGTCCAACAAAAGCAACCCTGGCAGCAGCAACAACCACAGCATGACCATAGCGCTGCACATAGCAACACTGGCAAAGAAGAAAAGTCTTGGCACAAAGAATGCAACGATCAGAACGAAGAGGACCACAACAGTAAGATCGCTCATCTCACTTATCTTAAATGATAGAATCACCAACAAACACAGGTCACAGCACTCCAGTATCGGTGCGAAGAAGTTCCCTTGACCAGAAACTATACGCTGAGTGATGCTTGCTTGCAGACTGGGCGAATAAAGGCTTTGCAGCGGTGGCCTTCGGTAGCTGCATAGCTAGGCCTGGCAATTTATACGCACCCCGTCATTCCGTGAAGGCGGCATCACCGGGCGGTGCACACTCCAGGTCTCCCGGAAGTCGGGTGCCCCTGGAGAGCCAGCACTTTGAGGTCGCATATCTCACGGTAGCACTGTGGCACTGCCTACAGGAGTCCGAAAGCCGCTGCGAGCTGAAGGCTTCGCAGATCTCCGGTTCGCACAACTTAGCCACTGCCCGTGTCGTGCCGAGCCAAGCGCGCCAAGCACAAGCAGAGCACAAGCATAGGATCTGCAGGGGCCCAGGGCCTAGGGCCCAGACAGCGTCCAACGACGTGTTTGCAATTCCAAGCCTTCACAGCTCGAGCTGACAACCACATCGACTCAGTCGCGGCTTCGGTGCCTCCCAAACAGAAGGTAGTTGTCCACGATCGTCGGGCAATCTGTGATTCCCAGCTCATTGACGTAGCTCATTCCCTGCGCGCATGGTCAGCAAACTCATACATGTTGCTGCGTGACATGAAGATATCCTCAAAATCTGAGGTATCAGCAGGGCAGACGCAATCGCAGAAAGCGAGAACCTGAGATGGCAGTCGTCTCTCTCCTGTCACCAAGGAGACCTCCAACTGGGTTCGCAACGTCCAAGCGGTCATGGCACTCATCCCGGCGGTTGTACATGTCCAAGTCCACCAGGTGCTGCAAATGGCAAGAGTTGAATTGGCTCAAACACGCTAGGCACATCGTGGGAGCATGTCCTCGCAACCAGCGAGGATATAGCTTGAGTCAAAGGGCACCCTGGCCTGCAAAACAATCCCCCCAACCCTTTCTGGCAATAAGGGCTGCCCTCTGTGAATCCATTCGGCTCGGGGCACGGCTTGCTCTGGGATCAAGTTTCTGGGCTGCATACGCCATGCGAACTGGCTGTAGACGTCGCAAAGGTTCGATCTGGGAGAAAAACTGGAGACGATGTGAGCTACGTGACTCGTTGAGAAAGACCACATCCAGGACACGATATCCTGGCACATCCTAGCTCGATGCCTCTAGCGTGCCTCGCAGACATTTAGGAACGCGGCATGCATTCGTCCCGAGTCTCGAAGCCGCAACCTAAAGCAAAGCTCCGAATGTTGGGGATATTGCAAACTCAGGCCAGCTGAGCACGGCACCACCATCATGCAGCGATGGTCGACTTGACGTCGTCATAATTGCGAGGGTTTTGCAGTCAGGCCTGAGCGAGCCCGACAGCCCCATGGCTTCGCCATCGAATGAAATCTCAGACTCGTACATTCGCTCGAGGTTCACCCCTGCATCGATCATTCGGCACATCACCTGGGACCACAGAGAGAATTGCCAACTCGGTGAGTTTCTTGCTTCCCGACATTCCCAGCCGAAAGTGATTCGTAAAGAGGTGCCGAGCATTGAGTTGCAACGTCCGGGACCGGAACACTAGTCGAGTGGATCCTTGAGTTCTAGAGCGGTGGCATGAGCCTTACTAGCGTTAGTCCACGACGTGCATCTGTTCTCCGCTCAAATGCATCCTCGTGCCATGAGCTGTTTTGTGGAAGGGTGCGGGGTCAGCCAACGATTTTGCATGTCGTCTCAATCCATGAGATACACTGCAACCTGTGTGAAGCGGTCTCAAAATTCTCTGTCGAACTCTGAGGCCGCAGACTGACAACTCCCACGTCTCGTCAGCGACTCGCCTTTGAAGCCTGTCGGAGGGCCCCTGCTTTGGGAACTTCTCGTCAACGCTGAGTTCTGATCCCAAAGGTCCGTAAGCGCTGAATCCCCATCACATCAGGGTCCACATCAGGGTCCGGAGTCTGAAGCGAACACGGGAATCGTGGCGGTGGCACTCCCGCAGGAACGTGGTGCAAGCGCCCGGCCTGGGTTGGTGGATCTAACTTTTGCGTGAACTGTCTGACATGACACATAGTCATAATTGTTATGCCTATCAGGTGCCATGCACGGTAGAGACCGTCAAAGCCACTCCACTCACTGGTTGCTGTCCAGAGGCCAGTTGTTGGTGAGAGCACAGCCGTTTCGCAAAGCCACTGGGTTCTTAGTGGAAAACGTCGCTGCGTGAGGCAGTGCACTGCGTCAGATGTCAATGGCTTATGAAAAGGCCCACGCTTCCTCGAAGGCGAGCCAAAAGTCCTCCCACAGTGTCAAGAGACTTCGATTGAATGCTTGAACAAATTTGGGCAAACTGCTGGAAAAAGCCTTGCAGTCTTTCTGAGAGTGCGAGCATCCCGTCGGGCACCGCGTAAATGAACTCCGCAGTCTGCTCCCCACCTTAACCGCAACCGGCAACCAGCGGTTCGACCGCCCGGACGATTGCCTGTTGGCGGTGACATCGCCGAGCTGAGAACTTCAATCATGTACTCCGCGAGACCCGTAACATCGCAGTTGTCTCCAGCCAGTTGCTGGCAGTCAACCTGCACATGACACCGGGCGGTTGAGGTTGTAGGGTTTGCACGCATGCCCCGCGCCAACTGCTGCATGAAGGTCTCGTCGAAGAGGGCTGCGAATGCATCTCTAATTTCATCCGTCATCCTCACAGAGATTACATCTACTGTGTCGTCCTTGCTGCATGGATTCCCGCTGCACAGTCGCAGTCCTGATTTCGAACTCTATTTCGGGGGCCGGGCCCTCGATAATCTGGCATCGTGCCAGTGCCTTAGAAGAAGTTCACTTCGAGACTCCGGACTGTCATAGGGCAACCCACTCAGGCTCGAACGCCTAGGGAGAGGAGCAAGAGACCCAACCCCATGACTCTGCAGTGGGAGGTCTGAATCCTCCCTAAGTGCAGTCAGACATGGCCGATGGGTGAGAGGACGAACTACGGTGAGACGGCCATCCAGGACGGCGGCAAAAACTCTTCTGCAAGTTCTGGGTGGGCTGTGGCAGGCAGCTGGTTTGTTGTTGCTAGCGGCCAAGGGCTGTAGAGAAACGCCAACAACCTCATTCTGTGATTCTCCACAATCACATCTCATGGCTTGTGTTCGAATTAGTCTGAGGCTGGCAGGCGCCAAGCACATCTCGTCGTGGCTCCCCAAACATGCCAACAGCCTGAAAGCTGCGCATCCTTTCTGCGTCCAGAGGAGTAGAGCGCAACTACTTGGAAGGAACTGTCGAAACTGCGTTGACACCAAAACGTCACGACATACTGTACCTTAGACAGATGTACAGTTCCATCCTTGTCTGGCTCTTCCTGCTGCCTTTCTAGCAGCGAAGAAGCCTCCACACCGCTTGTGCTGTACATGCGGCCGGGATGGTTCTACCCCTCGGAGTACCTGAGCCAGGGACGCAGACGGCTGGGACTGGCACAAGATGTTGCGCACCTTGCATCGAGCCGGCCCTATCTGATGAGAATCGGCCCAAGGATCACGAGTAGAACCTTGCAGGATGAAGGACTAGGTCGCACGAAGCCGGGAGATCCGCGACTCAGGCTCCCGACAATTAAAATCAGAATGGAGATGCAGCACATCCATTTTCGCCCCTGGCTCGCTTCACTATCCAAGCTGTCTCACGACTGATGCTGGCGGCGGTGGCAGCCGCCGCTGCGAGGAATGCGATGAGATCATGACTGAGCGTTGGCAGTTGGATTGCGAAGAAGTCGAAGTTGCATAAACCGATGATATGATGACGATGACGCTGCACCACCACCGACAAGAAGAAGAAGAAGAACTAAAGGTCCAGTGCCCCCGGCCGTGCCTGCATCTGTGCTTTCCGGGTCTTGATCAACTCCTAGCGAGCTCTGGAAGTCGATCCCAGCTTTGGGCTTCCAGGACGAAGCAGGTCCTGCTCTGCTTGCGCAGTGTAGCCCTTTGTGTTGTTCACGTGAACCTGTGTAGCATGACTTCAAGTCTTGGCACTTCGAGCGAAGAGACGGGACTAAATGCCTCGATCGCATCCAACATCTCACCCTGCGCATCTACGAGGACAGCCATCTCTTCGAACATCTGTGCCTGCCGAGAGCTGTAGATCCTCGAATCCTCACGGCTTGATGAAAACACCTGTCGAGCTGCCAGGGCCCGTACCAGGTCAGTGATGCTCTGCTCCAGCCGTATGATGTCCTGGAACCGCGCAGTTGCCGCGATATTGAACAGTCTAAGTGAAGGCCCACTGCAACCGGAATCCCACAAAAGAGTATGAAACCCAAGGTCACTTTGTTGTTGCAACGCTCCTTGTGCTTGTCCTGTATGCGCTTCACCTGACGCGATGCTCGGACAATGAGCTGTCTTTGGATGTTGAAAAGCAGAGCAGCAGAGCCATCCTCATCCAGGAGGAGGGCATGGGTGCCGGCCATCCTGCTACAGCTGTCTGGACTGAATCGGAGAATTGCGAGACTTACCTACAAGTAGTTCTGTTGGCTGAGTAAGATGCTTTTTGGCCACCATGAGCGCTGCAGTCTGCCCGTCTGAGATCATCTCCTGTCGCTGCTGCTCCGAGGCCTGCGACGAAGCCGTGTCCGTGTCGCCTGTCACTCTCACAGCCAGAATGCCTCGGGCATCAGAATCTGCATTTCGCGCAGCTGCCGACGCTCAAGGGTACGCTTGAACTCCATCTGGGCCTGCACACCGTGTCTGCGAGACAGGGGATGCAAAGAAGCAACAGCGATGCAATGCATCCACAGTCCAGTGTTTTGAGTGATTTTGCAGGAGGCCTTCTGGAAGTCCATCAAGAGCTGTTGATGCCTGAGCAGAGAGTGGCCGTGTAAAGCCACGGGATATTTTCGCATCGAGGCATCCACTTCTTGGCCATGGCCTGCTGCATGTTAGTCCTCTGTGCGGTTTCCAAGTCCGACGCCTTTTCGACATCTGCACGGCCCTGTCACTTTGTCACCGTCCTGATCTTCATCTGCGCAGAGTTTGGCTGCTTGGCAGCTTCGTCCTTGCCCGAAGTGAACTTGACAACCCTGATGCAAGGTCGTGCTGCGGCCTCTGAGCGCTGCTTCAGGACCTCTAGGCCATGCTTCACATCGGCCACGTGCTGATTGGTCTCCTCTGACAGGAGCAGCACGGCGTGATGGATGATGCAAGCAACAGCCAAGCCTCTACAAGCTTGTTGAGGCTTTCGGAAACCTCCGTTTCTCGCTCCTGGGTTGTTGCCTGCAATTCGGCTGAAATCACTGCTGCGACAGTTTCGCAGCTTTCAGACTTTCAGAGGCTGAGAGGCGCCTGGAGCGCCTCTTCAAGGACGACTCCCATTTCCTTGACGTTGCTTCTGCCTTTTTCCAGCAATCCTGGCGCACTGCTCGTCTCTGTAGACAAGGGGTGAGACAAAAGGAACCCCTCCGTCCTTGGAGTTCTCGAACTTGCGTGAAGAACCTTGGACATCTGCCGCCGGTATTGAAACTCTTCTATGAGGCTGAGTGCTCGGGACAAGTGTCAGAAGCCGTGGATCCGGCTCCCTCATGAAGCTGTTCGCTTCCTCGGCATGCTAGAAGAATGAACACTGCGAACGGCAAGAAGGTGATAGCCCTGGCACTGGCTGGCAATTAGGTCAGCTACTGCACCGAAGCTCGCAGCACCGACTGTACCTGAGTCAGCTCAGGACGCTTCCTCTTACCCAGCAGCTTGAGCAAAGCGCTCGAGACTGGGACCGAAAGGGTTGGCAGACTTGCTGCCTGTGCCATGGTCGGAGATGAAGCTTGTTCCTGGCAAACCACTGTGATTCTGCAACCTCGCTCAAGAAAAGCTCCTTGCTCTGCCTGCCTGACAAGCCGCGACTCCCCGCTGCCGACCTCGAGCAGTGCAATGCGGCTGGCACTTGCAGCACGACTTCACAAATCTTCAAGGCCTTCTCCTTTTACTTCTGTAACCTGTCTAGATTTACTGATCTGCTGATGCCATTGTCCAGGCTGATGGTCTCAAGGCTCATCTAACATTTACAACAAAATCTGCAAGCGTGCATGCGGCAACGCTCTCAAGCAGTCACAACTTCAGACATGAATGATACTTGGCCACAGTCTGGAGTAACTCTCCCCATGTGCACCATGCAGGTACGTTTTGCACTGCACATACGGAAGCGTCTTCGTTGGCTGATGTTGGCTGGAGACTTCTGTGCAGCACTCCAGCCCCCTGCATTGTTACTTGGCCCTTTATTACAGCGATGACGCACACGCACACGCACACGCACACGCACACGCACACCACGACCACACACCCTAAAACCCTAACATACATGAATAGCGCATTCACATTCACACAGACATATTCAGAAAACTAAGAACAAGTGCACTGCTCTTGCAGTGACCTTTATGCACTCCTCATGGTGCCCTTAGGCACTGACCACTGCGTCGCTGTTGCTGCTGCTTCTTCTGCTGCTGTTGTGGGTGTCGCGGTGGTGATGGTTGTTCACTCCTTGCTGAATGCCATTGTCAGTGCGGTCGCCGCTGTTGTCGTAAATCTGAAAACTGGCCCTAAGAAGTCCCCAAGGATTCCGGAAGGAAACACACCGAAGCCCCGAGTTAGGGAGTGGGCGATGCAAGAAACCACCACTCCTGCAAAGGTTCCGACTCTTTCCTTGGTTTCTGCCATCGGCCATCGTTTGGCATTACCACGTCAGCCCGGCCAACTGATCCCTGCACTTGCCGCAAAACCTATGAAGCCTAAGCCTGGACTTCGGCTGCCCGGGTGAGGCGCTGGCGTCAAAGAACCCTTTGCTTGTGCCAGCCTCTGGAACTCTGCAAAGCGGTCCTCAAGCAGCTTGCAACAGTTGTATGAAAAACCACCAGGTCACAGCAACGAACTAGTCATGAATCACGAACGGTGTAGGGGATTCCAGTGCTGGGTCTTCTCACGTTCGAAGGATACAGAGCCAGCCCTGTGGCGCGACGACGACGATCATGATCTGTGATGACGACAGCGATTGCGACAATGATGATGATGATGATAATGATGATGATGATGATTGTGATGATGATGATGATGATGACGACCACTATCAGCTTCGTCATCACCATCGGCGTCATAGTCGTCATCGCCATGATCATCTTCACCATCACCAGCGTCATCATAACAACAAAGACAGAAAATCTGAGGCATTGACTCTAATGAGCCGTTCTGCAAGTGCAGTGCCCATGTGGCGGCGGAGACTGCTTGCTCTGCAGATGCTGTGTGCGCTCTTTCGCCTGCCTTCGCATATGGCTTGGGGCTAACAAAGCCGTCGCGACAACATCTACGATGTGGCATTTCACCGTGTTGTCCTACCTTGCGTGTTTATGATTGTGGCCTCCTTCTTCTCAAGACTGCTCTCATCATACTGCTTTGCGTAGAGGGAAGATGCAAAAGGTCTGAGACCATCGGGTTGGCAGCCTGAGAGTCACACTGTCAGCTGCCGAGGAAGGGAGCTATTGACACTTGTTGGCGAGAGCGATGAAAGCGCGGTACTCGGCCAAACATGAGCATAAGCTGAGCTGTCAACATCATTACTTACAGCCGTCGTCGTTGCGTCAGAATCATTAGCAGGATTGCTACCATCGTCATCATCAGCGGCATGACAATCATCATCTGCGGCCGCAGCAGCACCAGGACCAGCGGCAGCAGCAGTAGTAGCACCATCCACGTGTCATTACTATCATATGCACCGCCATCAATCGCCGACGACTGCTGGTGTAACTCACTAGCTCTTATCCTGGAGGTTGCCATAGTTGATTTATCCTCATTATCATTACTGTCATTCTCAGTCTCCAGCATTGTCATGCTGGCTCTTGCAGCCGACCACTATTGAATTCACTGTTGCAGGCAATATCATCAGCAAAGCTTTGGATTTTTGCAATTTGTGTCGCCTCCTCGCATCCTCCTGTGAAACACGACCCCGCGACGCCCTCGACGCCTTCGGTTAGAGCGAGGAGTCAGATTATTTGATTGCCAGGCGAGGAGGGGCTGCGGACATCCTCTTATCTGACGTCACATGGGAACCAGCTTTCAAGCCCCAGGGATGTTGGTATCCCTCGGATCGAACATTTCCGGTCAACTTCGCGTCTTCGAAGCACGAAGGAAGGCTGCTAGTCTCCTTCAAGGAAGCAGCTGACATTAACAGTGATGGCTGATCACGGGTTTCCCGGGCCAGCCGATTCCTGCCTTTCAAGCTTTGCAGAGCAACACATCAAGACGCAGAGATGTTACTCTGACTCGGTGCAGTGCTGATATGTTGTCTGAGATGTCCAGGCTGTGTCGCTGGCACGTCTGGCCCCCTCAGAAGATCGCAGACATCCAGCTTGGCGTTGGGGCAGCCTCTTGAAAAACTGGAAGAACCGAGAGGCCTCGAAGAGCACAGAGCAGTGGCCTTCTTCACCTTTCCCGGTGGCAGCCTTGGCAATGGATCTGCTGTCACGTAGTCCACGTTACCTCGGATGCTCGGTCTGATGTAGGACCAGAAAAGAAAGGGCCTGCTCAAGGCCCCTGCTGTCCAGGGCAGGCGTGGTGTAGCTGCGGGACGGCGGGAGACCTTGCTTTCAGTGCACACCCATGATCACTTTCGTCACATAATTGACCGTGCTTGTGTGGGTAGTCAAGTCTTCAAGTACGTATGTATGCATGCAGAACCACTATGGCATTTATGTCGCCATCTGTGTGCGGGGCTCACCATTTACTCATGCCGACTTATGCATGCATGTGTCGGCCATGTACATCTACATCGACATATTCTGGGCAGGCCGGCCGATCGATGAAATACATGATACCACTTCTGCATGCCGCAAGCATGCGTGCACGTACAACGTTCTTCATGTGTCTGCTGAAAACGTGCTTGTATCATTTTGTACTGCATCATCTTGCCTTCCCTTACCTTATGTCATATTTCGATGTGTTGTTTCACGCTGGAGCATATTGTATTGCATTGTAGGTAGTACTCTATTATTAGGCTGTATTGGAATAAAAAACCCTGCATTGTATCAAATTACATCAGATGAAGTCTAAGTATCGTTGACTACATTTGTCTTTTATTGTACTATGTCAGAATAACCTGGTACATTACGCTACATCATGTTTTATGTTGCACTATGCCATGCTATGTTATGTGATGTTGTATTCTGTCACGTCACATTGTGGTAGATTAGGTTTATAAAGGTTATAACTCGTTATCTTATGTGACATTATTTTACATTGCACATTACAATGTGATCTACTGTATGTCATACTTACTACTCCGTTGCATTATAGTATGTTATGTTATGCGACACAATAACCTGTTGCGTTTTAATGACTTCGTGAATAACCCCACATAGGACAATATCACGTAATATATCTAATTTTCTATATACCTATGTATATATGTATGTATGTATGTATACGTGTGTGCACACTATAACATGTTATGTTCTGCCATGTTGTATCATATTATACTCTCTTTTATTGTGTTGTACTGAATTCTACTGTGTACTGTAGTATAATATATTACATTATATTCGAAAATGCTTTGTTGCAGTATGATGGTATATGTTAATCTCCTCCTCCGATTGCTAAACGCGCCAGCCTGTTGTTAAAAAACCTACCGGGAAGGCAGTTTGGCCCGATTGCGCCCGAAGAAGAGTTTACGGGACATCAGGGAGATTCCAGGTATCCTTCAAGGGTAAAGGCTTTAGGGTTTAGGGGTGGGGTTTAGGGCTTACTTCGTCATTTCGGTCTGACTGAACAGCCGGAAGCAAGTCCTAAGCACCTTGATTCATAAAGGCTACGCAGGAGACATGCTTCATCTAATTCATTACGTAGAGGTTTAGAGCCTAGGGCTAAGGGTCCTAGCTGCACCTTCTACTGTACCCATGAGTGATTCCAAAAGCGACCCAAGAATAGTAAAACCCAAAGCGTAAAAAGGCGAGTGTTCATATTAAGGGTTGCTTTTCATACTTGGGGAGCAGATTTGTTTTGGAGTCGCATTTCGAGAACCCGAGAGTTCTGGGCTCGAGACGGCCTCGTCCCATCGCTCCGTTGGTCAGGGGCTTCGGGGCGCTCGCTCCACTTGACTGCCTGGCCCAGGACCTGAGGACGTCTCGAGCTGGTTTGGGGCTTTGGGCTTTAGGAGTTTGGGGTTCTCGGCCCTTTCGGTTCTTGAGGGGCTCCTAAAAGGGTACCTGAGGCTGGAGGTTCACGGTAGGGACCTTGGATCTGACTCTGTGAGAGTGTTTGTTTCCCAAAGATCCGTGGAATCAGTTTCGAGGTTTGAAGCTTCAGCGGTCTTCAGGACTGTTTAAACGGGCGGAAGGTGCACGCGCTGCCGACCCCGGCGCCGTTCCTCCCTGGCTCTTTCCGCTGGGTGCCGGACATCACCTTCTGGCTAGCATCCAAGCCAGTGCCCTTCAGAACAGGCTTATGAATTGGTTTGCTGCCAGGTCCACACCGCACGGTTCTGAGACAGCTGCCCCTGTCGCAGGTGAAGTCCTAAGAACCGGCAGCTTGCTTTCCGCTCAGAGCTCGCCGAAACCATCTGCCAAGTTACTGAACCCTCTCCATCGGGGCGTCCAGCTCATCCACCTGCCATGATCGTGTCTTGAGACCAAACCTGCCCGGCGAGCCTCTTTTATCCTGCACTGCCCTGGACCCCTGATGGTCTCGAAGTTTGAAAGCAAAACATTTAAATTTAGCAACGGACAGCGGAATCCTCCGAGTGTTTCGAGGTCAAGCTTCGTGTGGGGCA